CACAACCATGTCCAGGTCTGAGTATGGTGTGTAGGTGCCATCGCATTCCAGGGTGGTCCTGCGCCAGTACCTCAGGGGGTAGGGTGGATCGCTGCACTTGCAGCCGACCTTGCCCACGTGCTCCAGGTCAATGAGAAGCCATTTGCGTGGTATCGGCAGGAAAATGAGGTTGGCCCAACGCACGTCCCGGTGCACAAAGCCTGCACGTGCACACACACATGTATGCCTTCTCAGATGCACCAGCGACAATCAAGCACCTGGCAACAAATGCATGTGGCGCAGCAGCAAGCCAAACACCCTGGCATTAGACATATGCCGGTTATAGCAGGGACCTTGCCTTCAGCGTGCAATGCCTCTAGGCCGGTCAGGACGTCATGCACCGCGCGCTTGAGATCCTCCTCGGAATGCGGAGGCCCCGTGCAGGGCACACCGACCGGGGCCAGGTGAACGATGTATTCATCATTCTCCAGGCGCGGTGCAGCCATATTGTAAGCCAGCTGGATAATCTTGCCGTCATGCCGCTTCATCTTTTGATACACGTCCTGCAGCAGCTCGAAGCTTGTATACTCCGAATGCCACGTGGAGAAGTTCATGATACTCTTCCGAACGAAGCCTGCACATACACACCGCAGCCCAAAATTTACAGTTAGCAAGCGTACTTAACGCAGACAGATTGCTGTGCAGAGGTGCCTGGCATATCAGCAAAACCGTATCAGGCTCTTGATAGCAATACAGCACCACGCTTCAACTGCAAGGCAATCCATGCGAATCCTTGCAGCGGCACACCAACCGGTTCATCAAGGTACATAGTAAACATGAAGAAGCATGCTCACACCTGCCTGCAGCTCAACGCGTGAATGCACCGACTAAAAGCAAGCTCGCGGTCATAGTGGAACACTAACCAGTGAGGTAGGCGATGGAGCTCTGTACGTTGCCGCGCCCATCCTTGAAGCGCCGGGCGCGGCCAACAGCAAATGGAAGTTGTGGAATGCTTGCCGCGTAGCCAGCCAGCAGCCTGTAGACATTGAACGTGGCTCGCACTGCCTGCAACCGCCCAGCAGGTTGCGAGAGCTCGTAGATGCTGCTGATGGGCTCGGGCGTAATCCAGTCGTTTCTGCAAAATGCAAAGCTGAGTCAACAACCATGCAAAGTGGGAGGTGGTGGGTGCATACCAAACAGCAGTGCCCAGCCTACTACAGAACAGCAAAGCGGGCAAATGACAGGGCACCCTGACGAGACATGAGGACATCGAAAGGGCTTACCTTCTTTTGATACAGAAGAACTTGCCATCCAGGTTCACGCCAACCAGAGTAAATAGGAAAGGGGGAGGGATGCAAGAGGAATGGGTGAAAAGGGAAAAGAATCCAAACAGGCGTCGGCAGAGCATGCAGCATGATTAGGCAGAGGTCTACAAGCAAACAGGGCCCACGACAACCAGCTGCACCAGGAGAGTGCTAGTGTCAGGCGAGGTGCGACACACACGCCAACCAAATATTCACAACCTACCTGCAGCGATGTGCCGGCTGCTACGAAGGCCAGCATGCAGGGGGCGGGGCAGCCTGGCAGGAGATGTGTGGCCCACGGGTCCGGCATCTTGTGCCCCAGCTCGCAAATTGCTACGGACAATTCCCTCGAGTACGTCTCCTCACCCTTTAACAAGAGGGCATTGTCGACCCAGCAAAGGAAGTCTGGCCTGCGTTTTGCGACTATGGTGCAAAATAGAGCATAAGCGTTGCAGGATGGCAGGATAATTTATAACCAGCGACCAACACAACACACAGCCGCAATGGAGCTAAGCAGCACAGGTGGATGTAGGTATGCATGCTCAGGACCGGAAAAGGAGAGCTGCCCAGGAGATAAGAGGGGCGTGTAAGGTGGATATAGGTGAGAGCAGAAAGGACAACTGACTGGTTCATGATATGAACGCTGCTAGGGGCGCCCAAAGTCACACCTGTCGTTCCAACGCATTCCTTCACATTCCTGGTCATCTCAAGAACAGGCCAATTCAAGCACTCCGCGATGAACTTGAGCGGCCTCTGAACCACTGTATAGGTGGAGAACGCCGTGTACGGCTCGTTGTACGACCCGTACAACTCCATGTTCCAGGGCGCAACGACCTCCGCAAGGAACCGGCGCAGGTGTGTTGCCTTGGCCGCCTGCAGAGTACCAGCCACAGTGTTGTGATGTGCAGCTTCATCGCCACTGGGACATGGCGATGCATATTCAACGGCTCCAGCTCTAGCCGCCGGTGTGGACCTCAACTGCGTGTCCAACTGCCTTACGTGCAGTAATAAAAAATGCCGCCGGACTGACCGACAACCACATACCCGTGGGTCATCTCTCTTCGACACCACCAGGTCCTTCAGACCTGGATGCAAGCGAAGCAACCGCTCAGCGGCCCTTGTCGACATCGGCAGGCGGAGCCCCTCCCCAAGGTCCCCCTCGAGGCACTGCTGCAGGTTCTGGCCTGTCAGCAAGGCCTCGGCAGGGAATGGAGCCAGGCACTTTTTCAGGTACTCGGCCGTCGTGTCAGCACCTGCAAATATCAATATGCGCAATAGCACGGACCAGGAACAGATTATTAGCCAACAGCCAAGCCGAGGGGTATCAGCACATTGTATGTGACCGAGGTGCGTCACCCTGATTGGTGGCGAGCCACTGACTGTGGATCAGATGAGCACCGGGTTAAAAGAGCACCGGGTTAAAAGAGTGGCTCTCAACTCAAAACGGGTTGCTGAGCTGGAATTGCGGAGATTTAAGGGCCAAGAGAGTTTTATTAAACTGATTAATTCTTGTCCTCATACCCATCTAGGAGGGAACTTGCCTTGGTAGAAAATTAGGGAAATCGTTTAGGCATAGAATGGAAGAGCGTACGAAATTAGTACGGCGTACCGTGCACCTTCACTGAATTTCTGTGACTAGGCAATCAGCGAGACACCGAGGGGTGCGGGAGGAGTTGGTGTGTGTGTGGGGGGAACGGAGGGTGGAAACGGAGGGGTGGGGTGTGGGAGGGGAGGGGTGTGGGAGGAGTTTGGGGGAAAGGAGGGGTGGAAGGCGGGGGAGGCATGGGGGAAGGAGGGAGGGGAAGGAGGGGGGAAAAGACGAACTACGAACGAGTGAAGCTGATGCCAAGGAAAGACTGATGCGCCAGAAGTAAGGAAGGCATAACTAAACAGTCGGCGCTTGTCAAGAAGAAGTCCTCGCGATGATGTACTCAAGGGCGATAGCGGAAAAACTTCCTACCCAGCCGCCAAGACTAAAATAAAGTGCGGAAAGAGAGCAGGAAGACCACCCATAATATTGTAAAGGTAGGTGTTAAGGCGGCGAAGAGCAGAAAACTGATGTAAGTTGAGAAAGAGGCTAGGACGTCAGCTGGCGGAAAAATTGTCCGCCAGCCTGGACAGAACTGGCTGATTAAGGTGATGATAAGCTGCTGCTGACATGCAAGTGCTCCTCCCAACCTCCCAACACGCCCCTGACCCGACCGACCCAACCACCGTAGCCCGGCTATAACCGACCGACGCAACGCGATTCACCGACAAAGCTCGAACCACCTCGGACTCACCTGGCCAGGCAGCAGAAGCGGCGGGCAAGGGCACATGCGAGGCAGAGGGGAAGAAAGGTTGCGAGCAGCGGCCGATGAAGAAAATGAAGAAAATAACGCATGCGAATGCCGGTGGAGGGGAGTATTAAGCTGGCAGACTGGGGAAACCGGGAATAAGAAGAAGACCTAACCACCCTATGGAAGTGTGGAAGAAACGCAGGAACCCTAAGAAATCAGAAATGCAAATGCGGCGCAGGACGACGCAGAAGATGTCGTACTAGATGACGGAATTGACAACGCGATTACGAAATGGACGTCGTGTACGCCAGGAACGTGAAGAAGCTAGAAATTGAGAACTGGGGTGGAAAGGAGGAGGGCAAATGGGAGGAGAGGCTGTTGAGCGGAAGGGAAGGGCATGTCTGTGTGCGCGAGGAGGGGGGAGGAGGGAGTGATGTGCAAACGAGGTCGAACTCACCAAAGATGCCTGCATCCGGTGGCGGGACAGCAGTCGCCGCAGCTGCACGCAAAGGAAAAAACGAGGGTTAAATACGCAGGTCAATAGTCACTCAGTAGGGGTGTGCTACTTGTTAAGTAACATACAGCTTGCTAACGCGACCAAACAGACTTGATGAGGGGCCTTGAAAGTAACATACAGGGATAGAGATTGAATGTACCAAAACAAGCCTCTTTCGCAAGCCGTTGTGGAGTGACTGACACCCCCCTGCGGACCCAGTAAAGCCATTAAAGCAAAGATGCAATGTCCAGGTCTGCGCGAAGGTCTCAAACATGCGGTGGCACAACTCACAGATTCGAAGCAAAACGTTCTTCTCCGCGCGGAGCTGCACTTCCTTCTTGAGCAGTAGAAGCCCCTTCTCCCTTAAATAATCCTTTTCATCATCCTTGCATGTCGACAGCCGTGTCTCAACAGCCTTTATTTCAGTCTCAGTTTTCAGGATTTCCGCTTCTATCGCATCCATCAGATCGAACGAGCTCCCGCGAGTTCCGGTTCAGCTGCGTCAATCCCCATATACGTTATGGTAACCAGCTCTACAAAAAATACTTATAGCGATGACCTGCTGAGAGTCGCGGTCGGCAATACAGTTGCTGCAACTGTATTGCAGCAGTGTAGTGGGCCGGCTTCAATTTGCCACTTAGCGTACCCTGGTTAGAGTAAGATAAGTGTCGTTTCACCCCACAAACAATTGGCTCAAAGTCCATGGCACGTCCGCCGGAGGCGCCTGACTCACTTCGTTTAGCGTACGAAGCCGTTGGCCAGATCCGCGAACGCTGAAACTTCGCCTGCTGGAAAACCCTAAGGCAGATATGGCCATATCGTTCTTGTATCTAGCTGAACGTGAAGGTGCCCTGGATCCTGCTCGCGGCCGAGGTTGGTGGCGGTTGCTGAGGTGGCCGCCCAAGCCTCAGTTCTTCTTGCAATTCTTTTGGGTAACACCCTTTAGTATACATAGGGCAGCGCTACCTTGCCGGCATCGAAAAACTTGGTCGTCAGGCTCCGGAACACCATCACATCTGCTGCCTGCCGAGCGACCTGCGGCTTTCGGGATGTGGACAGTGAGAAGCCCAGCTGCTCGGCACGCCGGCATGCACCGTCCGCCCATGCAAGCGGTAGACCGCCTCCAGATGAACGCACACTCCACTGACGGAGCCAGCCTTGCAGGTGCATGAGCCATCCGCCAGGCACACCAGGTGCCCCATACCACCCGCCTTGAGGCTGGCAATGGCGATGGTTCCCGAAGCGTCATCCACTACATGCATGGTGTCCGTCGCCCGCTCCCCAAGCAACGCCACCATGCGGCGGTGGCGCTGCACCACCTGATTTAGTCGGCCCTGCTGGAACCGGGCGGCACGCCCCCCATACTGCCGCTCGAAGTATGGCACCACCTGCAAAACACAGTCCCACAAACACCACCGTCATTAGAGGCCTACGCGGATGCCAAAGGCCAGCATAGCTTACTCATATGCTATTCTCACCTTGATCACCACCTGACGGACGCGTTTCTGTTTGTCTGTCTGTCTGTCGCTCTCCCTTTCCTTCCCCGACCCTGGGGAGGGTGGGAAACACATTTGAAACACATTCCGTGCATGTCCGCTCTGCCGCTGTGGGGTTGCCAATGTGAACTTCGTACCCCCGATGTCGGGACGCATGTCGCCACCATTTCCAAATTCGCCTTGTGAGAGACCTATCAGAAAGTCAGATGTAAACAGAGACCTTGGAAGGAGAGAAGGACAAGCCGGGGTCTGCTCGGAAACGCAGCTGGGACGACGGTGGTCCATGGCGATATACGCCGGGACGTAAGCAGGCCGCGCAAAGGGAGCAGCGGAACATTGTACGACATGTACGAAAGCAGCGAAGGAAAGGGGACATGCAGATGTGAAAACGATGTCCGAATTACGAACACAAATTCCCCGGGCATATGTTACATACATCGCAGGGCACGGCCCCGCTTTCTCAAGAGGTGTGCCTTAGGCACATTAATATCTACCTCCTCTTTCCTGAACTGCACCGATTCCGAGAAAACCAAGTACGGCAGTTCCCTGGTGTACATCCTCTGAGACATCACAACCTTGACGAAGAATATTTTTTGACAAAGTAAATGTAGGTGGTAACTCCGACCCGCCTATCGGAAGCGATAGACGACCAAAATGAAACGTCAGTATTGCATTTCCAACAACTTGTCATTGTGCGATTTACACTGTAGAGAAAGAGAGAAGCAGGAGGGCGCTTTCGGTGTCGTAATATATCAAACATAATAGAAAAGGAAGCCGATCATAAAGAGGCCTTCCACCGCCGCTGCCATCGTACCACGCCCGGTTTAGCACTGCCGTACCGCCGTACAGGGTAAGGAAAGGCGGGATGAAATGTACAAACAGGAGATGACATTGGAGAGGTTGCACACGCACGGAAAGTCATCCTCCCCTCAGATATTCCTCTCCAAAACGACATCAACGTCAACATCATCAACCCCCCATCAACATCAACATCATCATCAACGATATCAACATCATCATCAACAACTCCCTAAAGCACACGGGTAGGGATGATCGCACTGTTGGGTCTTGTCAACAGCGCGATGTAAGAAACCTAAGAACATGTTTCCTCCGAGGCGGACGGACAGACAGACGGACAGCACGTTTTTCAACACATACAGCCTCGACGTGCGCAGACAACAGCAATGACAAGGAACAAGGACAAGGAACAAGTAGATTATAGAGGACAGGATGTGCATGCAAGCACCGCAGCCACTAAGGGACGCCAAGATATCTCCTATTTAAGCCGCGCCCTCCATTTCGCTCCGCTCTCAGCACTCCAAGGAATGGGTAACTCCTAACCAGCGAGCACAATAAGCAAGCTTGAAGATTGGCACTGTCAACAACCACTACCACAGCCACCAGAGCAATGTATAAGAACCGTATGGGCTTTTAGCGGGCAGCTACGCAGCAAAATGCTCTCAAAAATATATCCTACACACACGACTGCTCATTCTTCAAAATTCCCAACCAGCCAAAACTGTATCAGGACGCTGTTGTCCAATTGCACCGGCAAAAAGTAAAGCAGCCTTACAGAACGGCCTAGGGGGGGCTCCTTAGAAAACCCTTTTTGCGCGGCAGGCGGCAGGGCGATAACAATGGACAGGGACAGGGAAGGACGGGGCAGAACAACCGTGGAGCCAAAATTTCCCCTGGTAGCGGGGCGTGTTCCTCCCTCCCTTCCTCTCTCTCCCGCGCTTCCGCTTCCCGAACTTCCGTCGGGGTCAGGAGGTCGTCAGGCAGCATCCCCCTCCCACACACAGCACCGACAGCTGCTTCTTTCACTTGGCGCTTGCCCCTCCCTCCGCGCCAACTTTGGTGGGTTACCTTTCCATGAAAAGAAATGTCACGCCGTTCATCCGCCGGCGTCATAACGAAAAAATGCTTTCTTCCAACTTTCTCCTCCACCTCCTCCTCCACCTCCTCCTCCTCCTTCCTCTTCCATAATCATCTTCACTTGTACATTTGCAGCGACTTCCGTCGAGGGCCATTGGCCATTTTAACGGCCTCCCACCCCCCCACCCCCCGAGGACAACACCTCGGCAGGTCAGCGCTTGAGGAGTGAGGTGTGTCGGTGCAGTGAGGAGCCAGCAGCCGCCCCCCTCAGCAACAGCCGGGAGAACTGCTGCTGCTGCTGCTGCCGATGATGATGATGATGATAATGATGATGATGATGATGGTGGTGTTGATGATGATGAGCCGCTGGGTAACTGTAACACTAACCGTAACCGCCGTGACACGCCGAGTGGGGCCACACCAAGCCAATGACGCCAATGCCAGCAGCAGCTGCAACGGTTAGTGTCACCGCCGCCGCCGCAGCAGCAGCAGCAGCAGCACCATCACCAGCACATGCCAGCCGCTCATGGCCATCAGTACAGAGCTGGCGGCGGCGCGTCACGTACGTCAACCAGCCGCCATACACCCGACGTCGCACCTGACGGTGCCTCCGGTGCTGCTGTCCTCCGAAACGTCAAATTGAGCCGCTCCGTGGAGCAGTACGACAATGGCAGCGGCGACGCCCGACTGGTTTCCGTGCCCGTCGTCACCACTACCGCCGTCACAGCCACCTCCGGCCCGGTCCCCTGGCCGTGTCCCTGCCCCAGCGCATTGACGAAGCCGGGGACGACCACCCTGGCAGTGCGGACGTGCAGCTGCTCCACCTCCACATCAATGCGCTGCACGTGCACACGCCTGCATGATGCCACAGCGATCATGAAAAGAGGTGTGCGTGAATGAATCAACAAAAACCCTAAAACCCGTGAAAGCAATAAAAAGACGGTGAAAAGAAGTGGGGAGATGTTTCTCAGTGTGGTAAGGATTATGATGTAGTGTTTCCCGGACATGTACGGATATGTTGGTGTACGGGTGTTGGGGAAGCGTATTGATGGACACACACAGGAACATACATACGGACAAACATACGGCCCACACACCTGCCCATCCGCGCGTTCCGTTCAGCCTCCGCTCTCGCGGCCTTGAGGGCCCGACCCCCAAGCAGTACCGATAACAGCTCGGAACGGTCCCGTGGGTCGGTCAGGGCGGGTGCAGCGGCGCGTGCGGCCGCCCAGCCGCGTACCAGCGCCGCCGCGGCCGGCTCGTCCAGCTCGGCCCTTCTGCCGTACTGCTCGGCAAGGCGGCCCACGCTCTGCGGAGCAGCAAGGCACGGCGACGACGTATGCAATGTACGGCAATGGCAATCATCAGCGGTTCGCATCGTTGCGTCCTGTCCTTCGTATCCATATACAGCATCCATGGAGCAAGATGTAACAAAGATGTAACAGAAATAAAACACACTCTCTGCCTTCCTCCCCACCTACCCCCACGCCGACTGCCTCTACAGAGAATGGAAGCGCCTCCGTCTTCTGTCCTCCATCTTGCGCACCCAGCTGCAGTGGCCAGGAACCAAGCGCCTCATGTGCAGCAGACCCAGCTGCACCTCCACACAGCCAACGGGCCACAGCCCGCGCCGCCGCCGCCACCTGCGCCGTCGACGCATCCACCGTTGGCGCCGCCGCCGCGGCAGCAGCCGCCGCGCTGTATCCGCTGGCAGCCGCGGCCTGCAGAGCGCCGCTAGCTACAATCCGATTGCCCACATACGCCGCTAGCACTCCCAAGCAAATAGCCTGCGCCGCGGCGGCCGCCACTCGCCGTACGGCATCACGGCTCATTGCCTCTTCTATCGCCGCCTGATCCAGCCCGACGATGGTCCAGTCCCGAGGCGCCCCTGGCAGCGTCGACACGCGTTCCTTAATGCTGGCGGCGGCGGCGGCCGCGCAATGTACGGCACGCGTCACCATCCGTGGCCGAGGGTGAAGGTGGCCCTCTGCATCGGGCACCCACAGCGCCCCCCCCCCAACGCTGACGTCGGCATCGGCGGCGACGTTCGCTGGCGGCGCCGCCACGGTGACGTCTACCAACCCGCCAGCGACTGGCGGCGCCGCAGCGGGGACCGCCGTCGGGGATACTGGCATCGCCACGGCGGCGCCGACAGAGCCACTGCCGGCACTGCCGCCGACACCACCACCAACATTGCCACCAGCAGCTGCAGCCGTACCAGCTGGGAACGGTACGACATTATTGGTGTTCGGACCCCCGTCAAAAAGCGGTAGCTGCTCAGAGTCCTGCGGCGGCAGCGGCGGGGCGGCGGCGCGAGCTATGTGTATTCGCCTCCCCTGGTCCCCTGCCTAGCCGTTACCGCCACATCCACCCCGACATCCGTACATAAGCTCACCTGGTGTGGAAGCGCTGCCGCCGCCGCTGCTGCTCGCGGCCACTCCAAGACGTCGCCGGCACTCGCGCTCGCGGTGGCTTCGGCGGCGGCAGTAGCGGCGCGCGGCGGTGCCTGCACCGCCACGGCAGCTCTGCCGCCTCCGTGCGGGGCCGGGGCCGGCGGCGGCGGCGGCCGTACGGACTTCTCCGGTACGGAGTTCCGGCGCATCAGACCGAAGGGGACCATCCAGCCCGCCGCCAGATTCGCAGAGTCCGCCGTACGAGCAGCTGCACCAGAGGCCGCCGCCTGTTGCTGTTGCTGCTGCGGGTGCTGGTGGCTGCTGTGGCCCCTAGTGGAGCTCACCACTGCGCTCGCCGCCGCCTGCCACAGCTGCCACAGCCTCTGGCGGCTGGCGTCGGACACATGCGCCACCGCACTGCCCAGCCGCGAGGCAGTCATCAGCTGCACCTCCCCGCTGCGAACCGCCAGAAGCTGCACAACTCGTCGTCAACAACCGACCAGCAGCAGCAGCACAAGCAACAGCAGTGGAAGCAAAAGCAATGGAAGCAAAAGCAGCGACAGTCAGCTGAATGGGAATCGTCGGGCAGTAGCGGCAAGCAGGAGGTTGGGAAATTGACGCTGCATCATTACATACATACAAATCGGCTATCTGTCCACATTGTTTTCGACCTCAAGAGTGCCAGGGACGTGCACGTGGAGGCGTGAGGTCAGTACGGCACATGGAGGCAGAGGTATGGCGCATAAACGCGTAAGGCACTCAAGCGCTCCAATGACAATCCACTCTTAAATTTGGAGTGCAGGAGGAAACGGAACCCCTCGTGTGTGATCGCCAACATAGGCCTGTACCTTGTTGAAGAGTACGACCCGTGGGTCACTGAACCACTTCGCCAGGGACACTGTCCCCGCACCCGCCATTTCCGGGAAGCACGGCATCACCGACAGCTCCAACCAGCTCTCCGCCCAGCCGTACTTGTGTGCCACGTCATCCACGCGACCGCGACCTCGATCCGTCTCCTGGCGAGCCTTACCGTCGTCGCCATGCAAATCAGCCGCAGCAACCTGTTGCTCTTGTTTCTGCTGCTGCGTCGTCGTCTTCCCCACCGCCGATAACTTGTCGCCATGCACAGGAACAGCTGCCGCTTCTGCTGCTGCGGCGGCGGCAGCGGCCGGCGGCCTGCCGTCCACCGACGTGACGGCTGCCTTCGCCGCTGCCTTGCCGACAGCTGAGACCCTCCGTGCCGGCGCCGCCGCCGCCGCCGCCGTTGCTAAGCTTACAGCGCCATCGTCGTCGCTGTATTCACTGCCTCCGGCGCCGTCGCCTCGCTCGTTCACCTGGAACAGTTCGGTGCAGCGGTCGGACACGTCAGCCACACAGCCGTACGACACGTCACGCCTAAACCCTAAAAAAACATCCACCGTGGCGAAAACCACGTCCCCACGCGGTTTAAGAAAAGAGCGCGCTTCCATTAGGGGGCCATTATTGCAATCCGCGGCATAAACAAACCCCACCTCGAACGACACGGCACCTTCCGCCGACCCGCCCCTAAGGCCCGCAAGTAATCCGCTGCCGCCGCCGCCGCCGCTGCTGCTGCCCGCCGCTGCCATCACCAGTTGCGCTTCTAGCCGACGCAGGAGCGCTGACTCGTCCAAGTCGCCCCAATCCTCGCCGGTGAGGCTGTACGGCAAGGATGCAGTGGCGGCAGCGACGGCGGCAGCGCTACTGGCTGTAGACGCCGCTGACGGCGGCGATATGGGCAGTGGAGGATCCGGCGGCCCGGCTGCAGTGGTGCGCCGACCAAGCAGAGCCTCACACACTCTGCGTTCGAAGGAGACGTCGGCGGCGCCGGTTGCGCCGGGCTGCGCCATCTCCAGGGCGCCCTGCTGCTGCTGCTGCTGTGCAATGCGCTCGAAGTACGACAAGGCCTGCACAATACACATTGAAAACAAGGTGACGGGACATGGAATGGATGCGGATGGGCAGGGGGACGCAATTGACAGGTGTACGTGTACGTGTACGTGTACGGACCTGCAGTACATGCTGCGGCCAGCCGGTGCTCACTCCTTGTGCAAGATGCGCAATCGCCAGGTCGTACAGCTCCTGGTCCAAAAGTTGTACGGCTCCGTACGGCTTCTGGCCACTCGCGACAGGTCCATACAATGCAATCTGCGCGCGGACATGGGGAGTTGGTACGAACATCCATTCTCCAAGTACACGTACGAAGGCGTCTGATACGAATAGCAACCCGAATCCTCCCGAGCAGATCTCAGTACGGAAACTCCCACACAACAGCTTCAAGTCGCTCCTCCAAAAACCACCCACACTCCGCTCGTACATGTTCCGACGCCGTCAGCAGTCCCCGAAGCGGCGCCATCATTTCCGACCGCTCGTCGGGTGTCAGCTCCGAAACCCGGATACCGCCGCCTCCGCCGTTTGCTTCTAACGCCGTGGACGCAGTTTGCGCCTCTCCTGGACGCCCCTGCTTTCGCTGCGGCGACGACAGGGCCGATGGGTGGCTCTGGTTGTGCCAATGCGACGGTGCTCCCCCCCGCCACAGCGCGCTCCGAAGCACGGAAATGGCTTTCGAGCGCCGGGCTGCTATGGCAGAAGCAGAAGAATTGTCGGACGGTGTCGAAGACGTGCCGATAGCGGCGGCAGGTGCACCGCCTGGAATGGTGGTGGCGGCGGTGGCGGTGGTGGCGGTGGCGGTTACAGCCGCCGCAGCACTCTTCAGAGAACCGCTCCTTATGCCCCCACTTGCCAGGTTCTTAGCCAGGGGTCCCGTCCAGGTTCCGGATCCGGATCCAGCCGGAGCCGGCGCAGCAGCAGCAGCAGCTGGCGGTGGTGCTGGTGGGGTCGCCACGGGCGGAGTGCTTCGGAGCACCTCTTCAGCAAGCGCCACCGCTACACCCTGTTACAAAAACGAGGGTGTGTGAAGCATCGGTCGTAGCAGCACTAGCATATTGGCAGTAGCAGCAGCAGCATATTGGCAGTAGCAGCACTAGCATATTGGCAGTAGCAGCAGCAGCAATATCGGCAGCACCTGCAAGCAGTACGCCACCTCCTGTTGCAGTGGCAGCGCGACGGAGTGGCGCTCCAAAACCTGTACGGCATTAAACGAGCGATGGCAACGGTGGCTACGTCAGTAGATCCCATCAGCCACGGGCTTTCCAGCTGAAAGCCGACTACGTGCTCCGGAAGGTTAGCTAAGGTAAGGAGTGAGGACGGCATAATAAAAATCCTTCACAACCCCCACCCCCGCACCCCCTACACCTGTTCACGTCCCCCTACATCACCCAACCCCGACTTCCCCCCCTCGCATCCTCAACCACCGTAGCTTAGCACCCCTCCAGCAAACCCCCCACCAGCTTACCCAGCATCCCCCACCAGCTTACCTGCAACGCCATCTCCAGGTGGCTGTGGACCTCCTCAAGATCCATCAAGCCGCTACTGCTACCGCGATTACTACTGCCGCTACTGCTGCTGGCTGACCCGCCAGAGCCGGCACCCCCAGCTAGGCTGATGTGGGCCAGAGCAATCGACAGCGCCAGGTCAGCCGCAAGGTGCTCCAGGTGGGGCACGGGCTGCTTGCCAACGCCCAAGGGGGAGAAGGGCACTGCCGCAGATGCGGCTTTGAGCAGTGGGCTGCCGTACTGGACGACGGCGTCGTACTGTCCTGCCTCGCATAGCAGGGCCAGCGCTGCAGACGCTTCGTCGAGAGGTGTGCCGCTGCCAGCCTAAGGTGGTTGTGTGTGGGGGGGTAGAAGCGGGGCCAGCAACAAACAGAAGGGAGGCAAGAAGTTAGTTAGGGTACACAAAGACAAAGGATCAAGTGCCGACGCCCAAAGCAGCATTGGCTGGAGTTGACGTAAACACCAAGCCCCGGCCTAAGTTAACGAATCCCATGTTCAGCGCCAATAATAGATGCCGTACCTTCAGGACATGTAGCAACCGAGTTTTCGGAAGCACGACAACGCTAGCCTGTCCGGCGGCAAGAAGCTCCTGGTCATCATGAAGGCCCATGAGTCTCGCCATGGCAGACACCGTTGAAGATGAATAGCATTGCCCCAAATTGTCTTGCTGGTGAAATATTAACGACGACTCCCGCTGAAGTAGCGGCATGGGGCCCTCAGCAGAATCAGAAGCCACGTTCTGAACCCTAAGTCTGTCGGTGTCATCCTTGTTAGAGATGACATCGTTGCCGTCAAACTTTGGGTCGCAAACTACGGCGCTCGTTGCGTGGTTGGTCCCGGAGAGGACCTCCGAGTGGTGAGATATAGTTTGATGATATGTACAGCGTGAGAAGGGCCTCCTCGGCACAGCGCAATAACGCCAATGGGCTGTACCCGAAAAAGTCTCAGCCGTGCCGTTAAGCGGTCTCTGAGCAAGGAGCATGGAACTCACACTCGTCGGCTAGACCAGAGAGGTTTTCTCCGTAACAAAAGGAGCAACTGGAGGTAGCGGTAACCGAGCGAAGTGAAATCGGCATTACACAATATAAAAGCCGCAGAGCATTTGGTCAGTCCACATACAGCTTAGCTGTTAGTGCCGCCGAGAGATCATACAAATGTTTCAGAAATAAGCACATAATCAACCTTGGTACATACAACGTCACGTGGTAGTGGCCGGGGTAGCCCGGAGGGCAGGCCGGCTGTTGTCGTAAAGTCGCCTGGAAAAGTGACGTCGACGCAAGTTCGCATGAAATGAACATCCCGAAAATCATTATCTTTAAGCTCAATGTATATTCGTTTTTTCTTTCGCATCCAGCCAGACTTACCATCTGCCAGCCAGCCAGCATAGCCTCGCTCAAATACGCGCCATCCTAAGCAGTTGGCATTCGGCCTGATCCCTTGCCTGATCCCTTCTTAGCACAATCCGCCCAGCAGAGCCATAGTACATTCGAAAGCACAACATGCAGCTTTAAGCCTCATACGGTGTCTGTTCAGTCATTTGTTCTGTGACCGATTTCAAAATAGTGCAGGTGACAGAATTAGGATTGGGAAACCTCCATGAGTTTGTATGGCAGGACATTATAGGATACCATTGTTGGGGCCGAAGGGGCTACCTCAGGACTTCTGGAGGACCTAGGATGTGTTTGTCGTGGCAGAGTCGTCCCGTTCGCGTGTTCACCTGTCTGTCCCTGGCCTTCACACTGTTGTTTGGGCTGGTGTGTCGTCCCATTCCTTTGGTTTGTTGCAACTAGGGTTTGAGGGTGAGATGGGGGAGGTCAGCAGCCTCGGGATGCATGAAGATGCATTATCATCTAGATGTATCTACCAGCGCTCTGCATCTTTCTTATTTGGAGGCTCTTCTTTGACTCGTTTGGTACCTCTCCCATCCAGCCGCTTTTACCCCGGGTTCTCTTTGGAGTAGGCGGGTTGGGATTCAGAAAGCCTTTGCCCTAGCTGAGTCCTGTGGTGCCGTTCAGGCGGGCGCCGTTTGAGCGTCTGTCGTGTTTTCAGAGCAGCACCGCCCCCGGAGGGAGCCGCTGCTGAGTGGTGGGATGCAGGTCGGGAGCACACAAGACTAGCTGACTTGTGCTCTGTGTTCCCGGCCCGACCCTTGCACCGTGTTTCGGCCTCGGCCTCCGGCTTTCCTGGCCCACAGTAGTCATATAGACAGACAGACAGACACACAGACTGTGCCCGAGACCAGCCTGAACCCCCTCCCCCTTGACGTAGCGTGATAGATACACACTGACTGCAGCGTCCTGATACAGCGCCCTCGCCTTGTTTCGGGTGGCAGCGGCGAACTTGCCTGGGGGGGTGGGGAAATAGAGAAATGTGGAGGGTAGGGGTCCTGTGGTCCTATGGTCGCGTGTGGGCCACGACAGGGGTGGAGGCGACGACGACGCACATGTACATGGCGTGTTGGATGTTGTTGTTGTCGCCATCGCCGTCGCCGTCGTCATACGTTCCGTTAATCGGTCCGTTTTGCCCGAGAACGCAAGAAGAGTAGAAGAAAGTACGGTGCTGCATTGCGCGATGCTACACTGAGCTGCAACAACATTTCCACCGCCGAGGTCACTGCAGCTGGTCTTTTTAAGCGCTTTTTTGATAAGGGGAGAGAGAGGGAGCATCTGTTGCAATTGCTAACTGTTCGGGTCTAAATGTACGGCGGCTGTACGGCAGGTTCGGAGTTCATGTGTCGCCGTTTGAATTGGTTGCCATCAAGCTGTAACTAAGATGTGGTGATGGGTACTGATGAGAAGCGGTTCTAGTTGATGGGTGAGGGGTGAGGAGGGGTGGTTTCTACCTGGTCAGTTGGTATCATGGATTGCTGGTCCGCGAGTGGTGTGCTTATTGTGGCCGAGCGCCGTACATGAGCAGGGTGATGAAGTTATGAGCACTGGATCGAAACACCCTGACATGAAGGAGCCCAAGGACAAAATGGCTCAATGGCTCCCCGTCTAACGAAACGAATCGATGCACCACTCTGGGTAGGTAGGTAGGTAGGTTGGTAGGTAGGTAGGATGCAGGGGGATCTGAGGCACTTAGGGTTTTGATGCAGAGGCGCGCTGGAAACGCTAGTACGGCGGGGCCCTTTGCACGGGCAGTGTTGGGGCAGGGGGACACTTGTGCCAGTGAAAGGTGCGAAATATGCGAGTTTACAGCGTTGGCGATACGGGTGAATGTGCTTAGAAAAAAGAATAGGTTGTGGTAATGTGGCTTGCAAAACCACGTAACTGGTGTTAATCAACACCAGATGTACGACATTGACGTCTGGAGTTTGTCGGTTAGTTAATTGCCCAATGAAGTTGACTGCATTGCATCGACAATGCATACTGCAATGCTTCATGCAGGATAGAATGTCCGACAATGTGCGATGCCCAATCCACTGTATTCTTTACTTGCGTCCTGTTTCTGTCCTGTTGGATGCGGTGCTCCTGACAGTTCTTTATCCCTGGATGTATCTGTATGTTCTAGCCCTTAATGCTATCATAACTTGCAGCTATAGCTTGGCACTTGGCGATAGCGCGCTATGCAAGAATGCTAACTGCTCTGTCAAAAGCCTGGTCAACAATTGTGAGCTTCCCTTCAAAGACCAGTAATGTTATGTCGGATATATCAAAAGCATTTACTTAAAATTTGGAAAATCTTTACTTTCAGGTGTCTTGAGGCGATATGTCACATATCATATGTGGCTTTGAAGTGTTTTCTTCCGTCCAAGCGGCCAAAACCAAAATTGCAAAAGCGGTCATGGAGGAAATCATAACTGATTTGGCTGTAAACTTGTGGACTTTAGGGCATAAATAGTTGTAGTTTTCATGCCGTAAACGTGGGCCTGGAAAATGTCGTGCGGCAAGGCCACAGGTCGGGCTCGGCCATAAGTCGGACCGTTACGAATCGTTCCAATGCAGCCGCACCGCAGAGCATAACACTGGCGGATCTAGGTAAACAGAACTGGGCGCAATTGGTGTTAAGAGGCGTTACGGGCTGCGTGCTGACAGGTTTTGATGACGGACAAAGGACACCCAAAACGTTGCGAGATGTGACAAAGAAGTCGATGTTTATTGATTTAAATATGCCTCTTGATTGGATAATAAGTGTGCAAGTTTGGGTCCATAAGCGAAATGTTGGAGGGATTTGCTCTTTCCGGTAGTTGAGGCGTAAAGTAGCCAACGGTCTGTCCTGGCATACATGGTGAAATGCTCCGATAACCCCATTAACCCAGTTAATTATTATGCATGATTGCTTTACAATTGATTGCCATGTCATTCTCTGAGCATAGGTCGTAGTAAGCGCTGGGCTGAATTAAACAACACAGATTACGACTGTTACAAGCTAGCGCGCGACCCTGTTCCTAGGCATAAATTGCAAGTTAGGTGTCTTGCATCTGCCAGATAAGCTCCTCAGAGGATGGAGGCTTTATCGTCGTGGCCGAAGTGTGTCCGGGCCCGAGGATTTCCGAAGGAGGCAACTCTGGCCACCTTGCTTTTGTTGGCCCTTTTGGTCACACCACAATTTACCGTCGCATATCCAAGGTTCTTTCTTGACCCCAACCGTCGCCTCGTGCCCAGCGATCAACAATGCGTGGCGCATCCGATCAATAGGACTACAAAGCACGGCAGCCCAATTAATGACAGGTAAAGCTTTAAGAGGAATGACTCATGTCCCTAGGACCTTATTACATTCCTGGAGTGCAAACCAGATTCGCCTTGGATTGCCTTATAATCGCTGCTAAGGTAACACGCTTTTGTCCAAACAAAATGGCCATCTTGGTTCCCCCCTTCCAGCCTTATCGCCTTTGAGTTTCGCGACGTCGTGGACAACACCCTCACGGACATTCTTTGTCCTGGAAGTGAATATTCGCTGCAGGTGAATGAAAGGCTAATTGTGTTTTATTTGCGTTGCATCAGGCTCTTTAATAATCATTTTCATCCTAAAATTATAAAACGCTCATGTTTAGCCGTGTTTGATTTCCGCCATGTAACCGCTCAAGCTAACCACCGGTTTAATTAGTATATTTCTCTTTTGGATGCGTGAACTGAGATATCAAGCAGCATCGCGCAGGATGGTGCACTTTCTTGATACGTTCCAAGCGCTCGTGAAATGCGCCTCTAGCACATGTCGGAACGCCTAGCTACAAACGCCATGTAGCCACGTGGCCATGCGCAAATCCATCGCCATGTGGCCACGCGCAAATCCATCGCTTCCTTGATTTCAAAAGCTTACACTGGTTAGAACGTTAACTTGGATTCGCGATCATGATTTTTCAGGATCCAAAAATTTATGTGCACATTTCTTTCACGGTCGATTTCACCTTTTATGAGAGATTCCCCAGGTTCCCCGCTCTTCCCCGCCTCTAACTTAGTCGGCGTAGAGTGCCGTTATTATGCATTACGGCTTTGAGTTGCTGACAATGTGCATCCTTGAATGTCTGAACCTGTACAGGTGTCTTTTGGAGGCGTGGCCCGCGTCGCATTGCTCAATTCCAATCCGCCTCTCATCAACTTCACGTCACCCACGCCCACCGATGGATGGTGAGCACTCCTAGAGCCTGACGAGTTGTGTACTGTTCCATTGGTTTGGGTTTGGTTCCTTCCAGCGCATCTTATCCGATAAAGTGATGTCTCCCGAAATATGGTTTGTGCACCTGCTAGAAGACAAATCCTATGGACCTGAAGAAAATAGCTTAGCGAGGCGTTTATCTGTCACACTTCTGTCGCCCAAATCTCGTGGTCACTTTCCCAATGCCCTCCCACCCGTCCCGTTCCGCGCCATTGCCGCTGCCATCCCTCCCTCCCATCCCACCGAGTACGTCTGTCTGTCTTGTCTGTTTGTCGGAAGCGTATCCCTCCGTAATTGTCAGGTTCTGTGTTGTACCATCTAGTCATCTTTTAGTCGTCTTTATCCTTCCCCTCCCCTCCCCTCCCCTCCCCTTTCCCCACAGCCCCAATCAGGTCGCACTGGGTTTTGCCACTTTGAACTCCTCCCCCGTCCCCGCCTCCTCCTTCTCCACCAGATTCAAAGTCCCATGCAGCGCTGCGGGTGAGGGGGTAACGCATACCGCTGCACCTCCAGGCCATACACACACACACACAGAGGCCTTCATGCCCCTCTTGGAGAACATAAGATCACAGAACTAGGCTTCAATCGTGTGTGTTTGCATGGCCCTCCCGCCACCTTTCTGCGTGACAGATGGGTGGCAATTTCTGTGGGTGAGCTGCATGTCTGCAGTCGTGTGCCGTTTCACAGAAGTAAATCGTTCTGCTACGACAGATACCCAGAAAGTTACAGTCGGTGGATGGATGCACCCTCTCCCTCTTCCCCCCCCAACATGCGGCTGTCAACATATGTGAACCACGTTAACCATGTTAAGGCAACCTTGGACAGTCACGTTTGTGATGGGGATGATGTGCCGCACCATGTGAAGGGATTCAACCAGCAGCAGTATAGCCACACATCTGGTTTTTTTCTGGTCCTTTAGTGCCCCTAAGCCCTTAACCCCCAGCCCTCCCCCTCGGGCACCACATTCACTACCACGATTCCGCGTCTCTTTCGCTTCAGAATGTCCGTCACCCCTGGTGACTTGATGGGACGGGACGGGGGGACCCACATTCCCGGGCCGCATTCACCATCTTCAGCAAAGCACATTTCAAACCAATACCCCCGTTGTTGTTGGAACTGAAAATTGAAACCTCTGAAACCGTTAAACCAAAACTTCCAGGAAGCAGTTTGCTGTTTAAGGTAACTTCTGTGGGGCGAGATGACCTAATTTGGAAACAGGCTACTCAGCGTTTGGCGGTTGCGGCGGCTAATTCAGCTGCTGGTGATGCTGCGGGAGGAGGAGGCGGGTGTACGGCGGCGGTGGCGGCATGTAAGTGGGTTCACCTCACAATAGCTCTCACCCATGCTCGTTATTCCTTCTCTGTCTGTCTGTCTGTCTGTCGCGCTTTCTCTTTTCCTCCCCACCTCGTTGGACGAGGGAGGGGGACAGATGCCGGGTTTCGCATCTTTGCATATATGCATGACGATTTCCCCCCCCCCTGTGTCCTCCCTCCCTCGCTCCTTAGCCACCTACCCACCCACCTACCAACCAACCTACCTACCTAGAGTGGTGCATCGATGTGTTTCGTTAGACAGGGACCGTGCCGTCTCTGTTTGTAGGTATGTGTGTCTTATTCTTCTGGCGGCTGTTCCCAGGGTCGTTCCCTTCCCTGGCTGAAACCCCAAACGCCCCCCACCCCCGCCACCCCCCACAGGCTCTCAGCAGCTGACGTCATCCTCCCGCTTGTGCGGTCCCAGTTCGTTGGGGTACGACTGCATGGCCGCATGGGTGAGCGAGTGAGGGCCGAATATGTGTACGTGTGTATGTATGTCTGGATGAGTGGGTGGATGCAGGTCGCTGCAGCGAATCCGGAACAGGACCCAGATCAGATTCAATTCAGATCCAGATCCAGATCCGCCATGTACGTATGTTGTTGTTCTGCATCGACTGCATTTGAAGTCCTTCAGTATGTGCATGTTCGTAGGTTTGTATGTTCGTAGGTTTGTATGCCTGTATGTATGCCTGTATGTATGTACCATGGGGATGCCTAACCAATGTTTCCTTCCCGGCCCGAATGCTGCAGCGCAACGTGACCGTCCACTGGAGCGTCAACACCACCTCGGCCCCCGCCAACCCCTGCACGCCCGCCACCAAAACGATTCTTGGGGTGCGCAAGGGGGAGGGAAAGCGAGAGATGGTGATGGAGGGGGAGGGGGAGTATGAGTATGGGTGGCTGCCCGGGCGGGGCAGGGGGCAATGCCCCCCCATGTCGGAGTTAGGGGTGCTAGAGTTCATCAAGTGACGTAGCGAGTCGAGGAGCGATTTAATATGTTGTATGCGCGTCGTGTGCGTAATCGGCACCTTCCCTGGCCCCCTCCCTGCGCCCTTGCTAAAACCGACATGCACACCAGGCCGAAGTCGTGACAGCGAACGGCAGCTTGCACATGGCTGTAGAGTCAAGGGCTCCGGGTGAGTGCCACATCAGCAAACCCTGAATACATATTGCCACAGCATTGCTACTGCTACTGTTACAGCTGCTGCTACTGTTACAGCTGCTGCAGCTGCTGCTACAGCTGCTGCTACTGTTACAGCTGCTGCTGCTGCTACTGCTGCGGCTACTGCTACAGCTGCTGCTACTGCTGCGGCTACTGCTACAGCTGCTGCTACTGCTGCTGCTACCTGCTACAGCTGATGCTACTGCAACCCTGACGGGGCCCCCTGCCCTTCCCGTGCAATCGTTTTTTCAACTCTTAACTGCCGTACCCTGCCGTATTCTGTGCCCATTATATTGGTTCCAGGCTACGTGGCCCTCGGCTTTGCTGCGGTCGCTGGCAAGATGGTTCCCAGTGACATCATCCTTGGCTGGGTGACTAATAACGATACGGCACCCTCCGTCGGCACCTTTGATGCCAGCCAGGTGGGATGAGGTGGGGTGCGGGAGTAGGTAAGCGCTTCTCCCCCGTGCCACCCAACCTGTTTTGACTTTTGAGAGGTTGGCAGCCGCCGTGGCTGGTGAACCCTCTGTCGCGCCATACGACTGTAGCATCGAACAAAACACGTGCGTACGGCAGACACCTCCCTTCTGCAGCTGCTCCTAGGGACTTCTCGCAGCACCGACAACCTAGGGAATTAGATAAGGCTCAGAAATACAAATACATGACGGCGGTGATGTGATGTCGTCGTACGCGTGACATGGCACTACTTGCCATGTAGACCTCCTTAGGTGCAGAGACACATACAGACATACAGACATATGCGCACACGGGGAAAGTAATGGAGAAAGAAACCCCCCTTGGCGCTCATGACGCCGTGTGTGTGTGTGTGTGTGTGTTTGACACAGAGCGGTCGTTTGTCTGCCAACAACAACACTAACAACTCTTGGGCGTACGACCGTGGGATGTCGTACAACGCCGCAACGGGCGTCACCACGTTGTGTTTCAGCCGTCTCCTGTCGGACGATCGCGCCAAGTCCGTTCCTGACCTTCGGGCTTCCTCAGGTGCGTGAACTAATGAACCTCCGAATAACCGCTGCTGCTGACTGCTGAGTATTGCGCCCCCTTGATAAGTCCGCTGATGATACTGCTACTGTTGCTGCTATGCTACTGCTGCTGCTATGCTACTGCTACTGCTACTGCTGCTATGCTACTGCTACCGCTACTGCTACCGCTACTGCTACTGCTATGCTACTGCTGCTGCTGCTATGCTACTGCTATGCTACTGCTGCTGCTACTGCTGCTATGCTACTGCTACTGCTGCTGCTGCTTTGCTACTGTTACTGCTGCTGCCAGGCGGGGGCCTATTGGCTATCAACTTCGCGGTTAGCGACCAGGACTCCCTGGTGAAGCACAAGGCTGGCAGCGTGGGCGGATTCAACCTGGACCTCAAGCGCGGGATAGTGCCGGTGTCGCCACCGCCGCCACCGCCTGTGCTGCTGCTGCCGCCGCCGCCGCCGCCGCCGCCGGCGGCCCTCGCTGCTGACTTAAACAGCGACAGCGACCGCAGCAGCGGCGGCACCTCGGGCCCTAGGAACTGCACTCCGAGTAACCTAGGCTATCAATGTACGGTTGTGCAGGTGTGTTAAGGGGGGCCAACTGGGGGCCAACTGGATCGACCCTCCACTGGATCGACCCTCCACTGGATCGACCCTCCACTGGATAGACCCTCCACTGGATAGACCCTCCACTGGATAGACCCTCAACTGGATAGACCCTCCACTGGATAGACCCTCCACTGGATAAACCCTCCACTGGATAGACTCTTTTAACACGGGTTTGGCTCTGAAGGGAATGTGGAGGTGGAGGCGGAGGGGGACTGTCGGAGGGGTCCGTACGGGGGGTGTTCAGGGGGGGCAGGTCCCCCTTCAACTGTGCCACGACGGGGCTGGTCTCTGTCTGTCTGTCTGTCTGTCTGTCTGTCTGCCTGCCTGCCTGCCTGCCTGTCTGTCTGTCTGTCTGTCTGTCTGTCTGTCTGTCTGTCTGTCTGTCTGTCTGTCTGTCGTATCTGTGGCCTTCCCCATTACGTGCCCCGTCCCCGTGGCTTTGTCGTTTGACCCTCTCGCCTTCCTCGCCTTCCTTTACTCCCTCCCCTTCCTCTGGCGCATGCAACCCCCCCTCCTGTCCCTCCGTACAGGATAAAGTTATTCTCCACTGGTCGGTCAACCTCAGGACCGCGCCCGCCAACCCGTGCACCCCGGCGACCAAGACCTCCATGCCGGTGAGGTGTAGCGGTAGCGGTAGCGGTAGCGGTAGCGGTAGCGGTAGCGGTAGGGGGGGGAGGGGAGGGGGAGGGGGAGGGGGAGGGGGAGGGGTAGCGGAGGATGGGGGACGGACAACAATTATGATGGCGGGCTTCCCGGGGTGAGGTGGATAGGATTACGTGTGTTGTTGTTTCTGTGAACGAGGTCGCGTCTGTATGTGTGCCGTGTTGAATCTCTTCTCGCAGGATAACGAGATCGCCCAGTACGGCAACTTGCATGTTGCGGTCCAGTCGGCGACGCAAGGTGAGCGGATATTGTTAGCCGTACACTATTTGCCGTACGGTTCGGTATTGCCGTATACGTGTAGGGTTGTAGTTCTTTGTCTTGGTTGGGGGGTTTGTTTTACTAGCAGCAGCAGCAGCGCGATAGCGAGTTTTATAATTGCTTGCAGTACTAACTACTTTCCAACAAACCCTTCTCGTTGCGTTTACCTCCACACGTAACTAACATATTAGTGCGGCATCAGAATCCTGCGTGAAGAAATCGTGTAACGCAATTTCAAGTTGCCAGCAACATCGCGCGACACCAAGAAGACAGATGCGATGCAAGACTGTTCATGCCTCGCAAGCTCGTGCGTGCGTGTGTGTGTGTGTCTGTGTGTGTGTCTGTGTGAAGTTGGACGAGTTTGGGCAGCTTAGGGGGGTTATAGCAAAGCAGCTGACGAACTCCTACTCGGCTCGCATACTGATGGCTCCCATACTCATTTCCTCCCTATTTCCTAAACAGGCTACGTGGGTCTCGGCTTCCCAGAGAACCCTGGAGATATGTACGACAGCGATATTCTGGTGGGCTGGCTGGAGAATTCCGGATCAGCCTGGGTCAACACCTTTCACGCGACGGTACGAGAGTTCACAGTCGTACACAGTCGTACACACATGTTTACGCCCGTAGGATTGTCGGCTGTGTGAATCCGTCCAGTAATGATCAGCGCACCTCGCTACCATCCGGTATGGGTTGCTCGGAATCCTGCCGCCGCTGTGTGGGGAATGTTGTTGCTGCTGCTGCTGTTGCTGCTGTTGCTGTTGTTGTTGTTGTTGTTGTTGCTGGTGGTGGTGGTAATTTGTTGCTTGAGTTTGGTTCTTCATCAGCCGTTACCTCTTATTGCAGCTGCATGCCTTCTGTTTTACTTCTATCGACCTGGTCGAATATTCGTTTATTTGCCGTGATGACGGACGGCATACTCCTTGTTGGAATATTTTTCCCCTGGCCTCCCTTGTTGATTACTTCCCGTGTTCTCTTTGTTGTCCCCAATCATCATCATCACCATCACCATCACCATCACTATTAGAGAAACGGACTCAGCATGGGTGACGTGGTCTCGCCGTCATGGGCGTACGACACGGGTGTCGTACGCGACTCATCTGGCCTCACGACCGTCTGCTTTAGTCGCCGCCTCGTCGATAGCCGCGCCCGGGTTTCTTCCGACTTGCGCGCGGCGATTGCCACGAACATCAGTAACAGCGGTAACAGCGCTGTGGGCGGCCGCCGCCGGCTGGAAAGTACGGCTGGTACGGACTCCCCTGAAGGTGGGTATTTTGCCAGTTCGTGAATTGTGTTTCACATCCCGTTTTCATCTTCCTCACTAATACCTTTAAAACCCAAAACTCTGTAAACAAACTATTTCCATTTATCCTTATCCTTGGCTAAAGAAGAAAATCCTTGAAATTGAGGTCGCACGTACACCGCCCGTCTGCATCCTTTCCTGGCTTTTGCAGACTCTCCACGGCTCGGCTTCATCTGGGCCGTCAGTTCCACGAACGCCCTGGTGCAGCACCGAGATGGCGACGCAGCGGGTTTCTATCTGGATCTTTCCAACGGGTCGGCAGAGCCGGCATTGGATTCCGAGGACCCCCGGCACTGGATCAACGTGCACGGCGCGCTGATGGCTGTGGCGTGGGGTCTGCTACTGCCGCTGGGTACACTGCTGCCGGCGCACAGGTGCGGAAGAAGAAGGGCGCGAAGGGCTTATTATTATTATTATTATTATTTATTATTATTATTTTTATTATTATTTTATTTTTATTTTTATTATTTTTATCATTTTTATATTATTATTATTATTATGGGGTGCGGCCGCTTGCCTGCATGCCTGCCTGCCTGCGTGCCTGCGTGGATTGCGATGCGGTGGAACATTTTACTTGTAGCTACTGTGCGTCGAGTCGGGGATTCATATTTAGGGGGTTGATAAGGGGCGTGGGGCCCCCGGTGGGGGTTTCGGGGGAGGGTGGGAAATGTAAAACACATTCCGTGCATGCCCATGTACGACTTTGGCTACGGGGTGTGCACGGATGGTGGGCGGTTTCTGCGAGCTGCGGCACATGTACTGCCCCGAGAGGTTCTTCACCTCTCACAAACCCCCACATGCAAACCAACATAAACACACCACCCGCATCATCCACATCCCCTACCCCCTGGCCCTAAGTCTATTCCCGTCCGAATTGACCCTTAAGCATGTCATGCCTGCCAGTTCCCCCACATCCTTTCCTCCTGCTCCCCCGCCATTTCGCACCCTAGGTGGCTGTTGGGCGACGCCAAGGTGTTTGGCAAGCAGCTGTGGTTCGTGATCCATGCCTTGTGTCAGTGGACCGGCGTGTCGTTGTTCATTGCCGGTTTCGTGGTGGCGTTTGTGAAATTCGACTTTGGATCGACCGAGCTGGCGGAGTCGCACGAAAGCATCGGCATTGCTGTGATGGCGGCGGCGGGCGCACAGGTACGTGAAGGGGTTGTGGGGGTTTGAGGGTGAGGGCGAGGGCGAGGGTGAGGGTGAGGGCGAGGGTGAGGGCGAGGGCGAGGGTGAGGGTGAGGGTGAGGGCGAGGGCGAGGGTGAGGGTGAGGGTGAGGGTGAGGGTGAGGGTGAGGGTGAGGGTGAGGGTGAGGGTGAGGGTGAGGGTGAGGGTGAGGGTGAGGGTGAGGGTGAGGGTGAGGGTGAGGGTGAGGGTGAGGGTGAGGGTGAGGGTGAGGGTGAGGGTGAGGGCGAGGGCGAGGGTGAGGGTGAGGGTGAGGGTGAGGGCGAGGGCGAGGGCGAGGGCGAGGGTGAGGGTGAGGGTGAGGGTGAGGGTGAGGGCGAGGGTGTTGAGTTCACATCATGACGGAAGCTCCGGCAGCAACTGCGGCGGCCCTTTCCCCCCTTCACCTTCTCCATTGGACTCCGGAAGCAACCTTGCTCTCATCCGTATGTATGTATAAATGCTTTCGTATGTTGCCACTTTACTGCTCGAATGTAATGTTGTGTGCGTGTGCGTGTGCGTGTGCGTGGGGGTGTTACACGCCACCTGAAGTTGTTTCGCTCTTCGAAGTTGTAACCTGGGACCCATACGAGCCCTGAAGCGCCCCTTGGGCCCCGTCGAACCTCTTCATCCTCCACACACACACACACACACACACTCTTCATCCCCCCCATTATCCCCCTCGGTCCCCCCCACCCTCCCCACCCCAGGTGGTGTTGGCGTACATCCGACCCGACCCTGACCACCCGCGCCGTGGCCTTTGGAACCTGATCCACCACAATCTGGGACGAGCAACCATACTGCTGGCCTGGGCCAACGTCTACATCGGCATCTATCTGAACCGCAACAACTGGGGTGCTAGCTACGCGGCTTGGGTCACCCCCATTGCCGCTGTCATGGGACTCTTGGTAAGTCAGTCCGGCCTGGTAAGCCCTACATTTTATTCGGTATCATTATATTGCTATCTTTATCATGCTTTATTACAAATATATTTCTAAATAATATCCTTACTAACCAACCCTCTGCCATTACCTCACCACTTGAGGACACACGGCCACCTGCGTGCCTACCTGCATGCCTACTTGCATGCCTACCGGCCTACCCTGACTTCCTGACTGCCCTATTTGCCGTCCGCGGACGCCCCCTGTAGCCTGACCCCTGACCTCCCCGTCCGCGCGAAACGCTCCCGCAGGTACTGCTCGATGTGTCGCTGCGGTTGGCAGGACGCGGCAAGAAGCAGGAGCTCACCGCGGTGCCGGCACGAGGGGACACCTATGCTGTGGCCGTGGGCGACAACAACAACAACAGCCCCAAGGGGTCCTACCGGGGGGGGGGAGGCAACGGAACCAAGAGTGCACCACCACCGTCCACAGAGCGCACAAGCAGCAGCCAACAGTCGTCCGACCAGAAGGAGGAGGACGGATGAGGTCCTCCTGCATGCGCCTCAGCTGCCGCGCCCCTGTGTGTGGCCACTCACGCGGTTAGCAGAGTTGTTACTGAGGATGGTGTCCGCCGGAGGACCAGCAGGCATCCATGCCGCCTCCGCCTTTGCCCATCTTCACCGCTTCCATCACCACAATTCCCACCTTCCGCCAATGCTACTGCTGCTATGCTGCTACTGCGAATGCCGCCGCAGGGCAGAAGAAACGAGAGTCACTGGTTTCCTTATTATTATTAGCGGTTAGCGACAGAGCGTGGCGTGCTATGTTTAGTGTCGTGTGGTGCTTGACATACAGCATGCGAGATTTCAGAGCGCCGTGTTCCACTAGGAAGAGAAGGCGGGCGGCTACAGGGAAAAGAGAGAGAGCAGCGGAGTGGTGGAATACATGAGCATGAGCGTGGAGGGCTTACGTGCGTACTGGCATGCATGCATGTGTATTTGTGTTTCTTTGCGTGTTTTACGTGTGTGCCAACTTTACTTAAAGGTGCTTGAAAATCCAAGTCGGTGCGTGCAAGGATGTGTTGCTTAATCTGGCTATTCAGTTCAAGCTGTAATCGGTTGCGTGTTCTGTATTGGTGCTAAACTCCAAAGATTTCTACGTTTTTAAACAGAGTTGTGAGCCGGTGGTGTAGTTAATTTCACCCTGTTACTAGCAATGTTGTTGTTTTCATTGTCCGTGACTAGGACCTACGAAATGCGAGACACTGCCGACTTATACAATCTGTGCGTGAATATCTTTAGCTGCTGCCCTCTATCGCTGATTGCGATAGGCTGATGCATGTGCAACGGAAGAGCTGGGAGAATCTATTGCCGGCAGTGGCGGGCAGGTTGTGGCCAAGTTAAGCCGCGTTCGAAGATGTATCAAGAATGTTCACCTGGCATCGCAAAAATTTGTTTTGATTTTTGGAAAGGCTTTGCTTGCGCATCGGTCTGTTTCTACTTGTTGCAGAATTGTACAGAGTTTCATTGCAATTGCAGCCTACTGCGTGATGATGTTGCTGTTCTATTGTATTCTTTTCAATCTCCACCCTCAGTTCCCTCAACACCCGCCGTAAGGAGTTACAAGGGTGAAGGAGTGCTGGGTCGGGGGTGGGGGTGTGCAGCTGCTGCCACGGCGAGTTCGTTGATCTGTAACGTGCAAGAGCAGTTACATATCTCTGGATGATTCTCTTCAAGGGGGTTCACGTAGCTATTCTCAAAGCTTTCCTTTTTGCGAGGTCATACATTAGTGCGGGTCGTACACTGGATGGCTACATCTTCGCTGGTGTATCGCATCCGGTGTCTTTCGACACCACCATGACTGCTTGTGATAAGCATTAACGTAACATTGGCATCGAGACGGTAAAATTTTTCTTTCTGGGATTACCGTACTGCTATTGTACATTCCTGATATTACGATTCCGGGTGGCCGTGAAAATGGGGCTGGAGTTTTACGTGACATTGCCATTTCGGGACAGCCATGAGCAGATTTTGCAGTTGTGTTATCACAATTCGGGACGGCTGTAAGGCCCTCGCAAAAACACGACGACTGTCCGACCGAATCGCAGGTAGTCCAAAAATAGAATCGTCACTCGGACACTCCCATATACAGATATGATGTGTGAAACAGGGGTGCATCTTCGCCCGTGGCAGCTACCCTGCGAAACCCTGCCTTCCCCGGTATTTCGGGGCACCCTCATCCAGTCAACCTAGTCAACTTCTCAGTGGATCGCTCAGGTTCCGCACCCACCACCAGCATCCAACGGAATCTGCCGGGTCGACAGCGGCCCAACTCCGTTCCTGGTCGGCTCGCAAGTTTACTTTATCCCAGGTCACCACCGTCCATCAATTAGGGGCGCAGTGCCTTCCACTATCGGAAGGACTTTTGACCCTAACGTGTATTGATCCCGGGATCTTCCGGGGGGAATGGTCGCGCCTTACCAGTGGTGCCAAACCCTTGTGGCGTGGCGTTGGACGTTCATTTCCAAGTTTTTGGCCCAAGTCGGCCAACTTGAAATGTTATGTTCTCCGCCTCCCTGCGTCCTTTATTGTTGCCGTCAATCACATTGCTCTAGTGGGTGCATTTGTTATTCCTCCAACATAATTGATTTGCCTCAGCCATATCCAGTGCAAAAAGACCTGGCCCCTTCCCCCTAGCCCCTTCTTTATCTTTTCGCCCGTGCGCCGCCTGGGGCTACGTGGGGTGTGGCACTGCCGTACTCTGTGCGCTGCAGTAACGTTGCGGTAAGGTGGGGCGGCATGCCTAGACAGGGCATTGTAAAGGTCGGGGATCGAGCGGGTGAACGGGCTCAGACCCGCGATGTGATCTTCTTACTCCCTAAAGGGAGTAAGCACAAGCATACCTCCCACAGCATCAGCACTGCTGCAACAAGCGCAGCTCCCACCATGTTGACACTAACCATCAATTGTCACACGTGCCGCCCTAGCTACCGGCCTGTACGGATGCAGAAGGGGCCCCGCCGTTTTTCCGGCTTCGAGGAAGCCGACACAGCTTGTCCTGTCACTCCTACCGCTTCATGCAAACATCCGTGTCTCTTGTATCATTTTTGTGTTTGTCACGCTGTTCTGCCGCATTCTCACCTGTGCACACCTCGTCGTGCAGTCACACCAATGACACAGATGTGGATGGGTTGTGTGCTACGGTGAAGAAGAACTTCTGGGGCCTCTTCATGAAGCTTCAGCGCAATGGCGTCTATGCACTCGTGCACATACCGGCCCCCAGTTGCCCCGGAAAGCGACACGGCAATGTTAGTAGGACTGCTGTAGCTATTTGTTTGTATCACAATTTGTCGGTTTTTGGCGTGCAGTAACGTTGCATGTACAAGCAAGAGGCAGCTTGTGTGTGTGTTACATGGTTGGGGGGTGCGTGACCCCATACCTGTAAGACTACCCATACGAGCCGAAGGCCCAAGTGCAATACTACAACTCCTAAAAGCCACGGAGAAAAGGAAAAACACCGCACATCAGCCCAGATTAGCGTCCAAAGGGGGTAATTGAGTTTCGGTGAGCCCACATACGTTCCAACATCCTCGCCAGACGTGCGGGTTCCCATTGCATGGCCTCCAACATACTCTGTTGATGATCGAATCCCTCTTCAGAACGAATATCATTATAGGCTGGGCATTCCAATAACACGTGTTTTTCATCCTCAATTCGGCTATTAGTACCACAACAGTGGCAAAACCGCTGCCCCCTGGGAACATGGTACTTGCCCCTTCGTGCTCTGTTTGCCTCCAAAGCCCAGCAACATAAACGAAACTGCATTAGCTTACGATGTGCTAAACGAGGAATGAAAACCTTAGCATGTGTTGGCCACATGACGGCTGCGGCTCCCCAAAAGGGCAGCCCCATCCAGTGCTTATACTTCGCCATTTGCACTCCCGGTTGCTTCCCATCTGATGGGTACTCTGGTAAGACAGTCAGGCGCGTATGGTCCCAGCCACTCATCAAACGCTCTCTTAGTGCCGTTATTATCGCTCCTTCGGGTAGAGGTCTACTCAACAACCAGTCAACACGCTCCTTTACCCCCACGACTTCTTGCGGTATTCCGCTCCAAATGTTGCACTCCAAGAAGGAAAACAGTCGTAACATTTAGATTCCCCAAGCCTCCCATTCCGGGTTGGTCAGGGCATCGGTTATCTCCTGCCGTAAAACGGCATGAGCAATGGATCCCACTTACTTTTGAAGGCGGTTCCAGAAACGGAGAATCTGCTTCACCATGTAATATTGTAAGGGGAGTTCAGCCAGCTCCGCGTACAACAGCCTGTGGGATGGCCGTGCCGTCCCCACTACCTGCCTCATGAATAAAATCTGCAGCTTGTAATGATGTGGCGTTGGCAACGGTGCTGGTAGAGCACACGATGTTAATAACACGCTCTACTCCCGGTGCGTGTTTGATGCATGTGTTTGCCGGCATCGGAGCATCTTGGCATTGTTGTAAAACGTGGTGACGGTGACTGTGACTCCACGCCTTCCGGACAGTCAGGTCTCTACTATCCTTGAATCAACACTTTGAGGCCCGATGGGGTAACCTTGGACTGCCGATGCTAGCAATGTGGGAGGACAAGGCGGAACAGCTGCATGATGCCATTAAAGACCTGCGCAAGACTGCGGTGTGGACACCCTTGTACTACGGCGATATCCACTTACACGCCTTGCTTGTCTAGCGCGCGTGATCGCGCAAAGGCGGTACTTTTGACCACCAAGTTCCAGCTGCTGCAGGTGCAGCGTAACCTGTACCCGGCACATGTGCAGAGGTCGGCAAATAAGGCGGGTCCGTACTGCGGGTCCATACCACAGTACCCGCAGCCGAAATTCGGCTTAAGGCCCCGGCTGCGGGTCCTTAATGACCAAAATTCGACCAAAAAACGTGATTCGCAGCTTCTATTACGGCCCGTAGGGCAACGCGCTGGACTTGAACTCCGTGTTTGACTTTGAAGTTTTTAGGTTTAACGACCGAAATTATGCCCTCCCGCAGCCGTAGAAACCGATTTGCCGACCTCTGCAGTGTATGTGCATTTGTATTTAAAGCTTCTGGTGCAGCCGCATAATTTGTCTCTTCTTGACTGATTCATAGTGGCTGGAATGTTGTAAAAGAAGTTGTTTTGTTTAATCCAACCAACCAATCGCTCTTCTCATTCGCCATCCACCCAACTATCAGCTCCAAGATGACAGAACAGTTCATAAGGAAGGTATTTATCCGATGGGTTTGTGTAGGGCAAAGTAGAATCCGATCGCTAGGTGCGCTGGCAGTTGGCAGCTTCGCAAGTGCACGGCAGCGCGCGTGACTCTCAGACGCCATGCCAATATTGACGCCAGCTGACAATGAAAAAGATTTGATGGCGAAGCCAACGAAACTCGATGTTAGGTACTTGGAATGTCCGGCAAGACGGAGCCGGTTTACTGCCTCTCCGGGACCGGAGGAAGAACCTGATTCATACGCATCTTTGAAAGCCAGATGGACGTGCAGGGCCGGGGCAACATTAGCGAGTACGTGTTATCTGCACACACCATACGAAAGTGAACCGCAGAAAAGTTGGGTAAGAAACTTGATGGCATCATATCGCGATCTAACAGTACCCGTATGTGTTGCAATCCACAATGTCGACAACAACGGTTAGGGCCCGGCACGGGTGGTCGTCATGTTCGTTACGTACAGATCGCTTTGTTACTTTGACCGATAGCTTCAATGATGTATTTACACATAGTTATGATATGGAGTGCTTTTATGCATTGTTATTATAGTCCGAAAGTGACGGTAACCCTAACAGCTAAAATTATGTATCACGCCCTCAATCCAAAAGAGCCAGCCACCAAAAAATTAGAGGGATCTCCAACTTTGTATAGATCATCCTGTGGTGCAGTTCACGTGCTGCAAGATATAGCTGCATCTGTTAGATTGGTAGTTTTGCTTTCACCGTCGACATAGGCTAAGGCTTCAGATTCATGGAGGCCTATTATGCGAGCCCAGCTAGCCAAAGCGGAGAGCAGCCTGGAAGGCAGAGCTTGTTTTTGGCACCAGCATGGCTAATTGGTAAGTCGTTGAATGAGCCTGAGTATCGGAGAATTCTTGGATAATTGTAATCTGTCACAGACCACATGCGCCCCAAGCTTTCATGAATTTTAGAGCAGGCTGCCCGTGCGTCCCAAAGGGCCCCTGTAATCCTACAGGCCAGAGCGGCCCCTTGCCAACCCTTTCCAACCGAGCACTGCATTCGTGAGCCAAACCCCCCTGACGACTCATTCATGACTGCTGACATTTCCCTTTTGCCTCCTTGTGGGCGGTTATGCGCAGCCGGACTCCAGTAATTGGTGTTTTGACATCACCACCTGCTTCTTCTTGAAAATAGTTCTTCCTTCTTTGCGCATATTGCACTCCTGCATCCCATCACATTCCTGCACGCGGCTTCTTATAACGCTGTGCATTCCCATACCACGGCTGGCGCCCTCCCCGTCTAACACCCTCGTCCGCCACCTCTTTCCCTCTCCTCCTGCCTCACGCAAACTGGGGGCCCCCGCAACCACCACAATCTCTCTTCCCCAGCCTGCGGCGCGGGGGCCATCCTCGGCGGGTTCTTCATGCGGGGCACCCCCTTCAGCTGGCCACTAGTCATGCTGGGGGCGGGCGTGGGACTGGTGGGTGCCACCATGCTGTACCGGAACGTGATGGTGGGTCAGGAAGTGGGTGGGTGGGTCAGGGCGGCAGCGGTCAGGAGGGGGAAAGGGATAGTGGCGGGCCGGAGGGCACTCAGGTGAAACCATGTACTGGTTTACTGATGAGGACCGCTCCTCCGTGGTGAGGTGAAGTGAGGTGAGGTGAGAGCCCCCAAGGCGTCGTTCGCGCCAGCGGCCCCCCGCTTATTACCCTTCTTTCTCTGCCTCTGGTATCTTTTGGACTCCCCTACCTCGCTGCAAATGGCGACACGGCTCGATTGTCTGGTTTGGGGGGGTTACTCCCGGGGGGGGTGTTGTTCGCGGTGGTGGGCGGCCGACGGGGTGACGATGGCGCCATATTGGCGATGAGGGAAGAAAGTAATCACATGTACACCGGGCCGCCTCCGCCGCCTTGCTTCTCCCTAGCCTAGCCTAACTCCCCTCCCTACTCTCCCCTTACTGCAGAGGGCCCGTCGCCATAACGACGCGATCGCTGCCGCCGCCGCGGGTGGCGGCGGTGGCGGCCTCCCGCCCGGGATTCTGTCAGGTTTCGGAGCTGGCGGCCTCCCGCTGACGGCTGCCGTGAGGGCGCCGATGGACGGCGCGTTTGCGGCCGCGGGAGTTGGCGGTGTCGGCAGTGCAGCCGCCGCCGCAGCCGCCGCCAGGCGTCAGGGCTCGGTTGGGCCGTCGCCGGTTCGGCAGGTCCCCGCCGTGTATGTCGTTCTCTTAGAGAGAACCCAGCCCTTGGAGCTGTCTGCGGTGGCGGGGGCGGCGGCGGGGTCAGACGGGACTACGGCAGCAGATGATTCGGCAGATGATTCGCATCTTAAGTTTGAGGCCCGCAGATGTGGCTGTAGCTGCAGCCATTGCAACGACGGAGGCTGCAGAGGTGGCTGTAGCCGCTGCGGTGGAGGGGCCGGCCAATATCATGGCGGCCAGCGGGGGCCCTTCCTGCGGAGTGAGGAAGCCGACGTGGGTCCGTTCGCGGACGCCATCGCGCTAGGAGTAAAGCTTGCGGCGCCGTCCTCGCATGTACGGCGTATACGGCAGGGGGCAGCGAGTCGGGTGGTTTTGGCAGGAGAGGAAGACAGCAATTTGCCGGCGGATGACGATGGTGCACGTGCGCACGCTCGGCGGCGGGGTGGTGGGGTCACGGCCTCGATTGGGGTTGTTCCGCCGGTTTCGGACTCGGAGGGGCCGACGACATCCGGAATGCCAAGGGCTTCGCAGGGGACGCAGCTGGAAGGTCAGGAGGATGGGGAGATGGGAGAGGCGGAGGAGCAAGGTATTTGTGGGGCGGCTGGTGTAGCCGTTGATGATACGGCGGCTGCGGCTGCGGCTGCGTCGCCTGGAGGATTTGCGCTGGTGTTGCAGCCCCGGCCGCAGCTGCTGGGGTTTTCTGTACGGCTCCAGGAGGAGCTGCCGCCGCCGTTGCTGCCGCTGCCGCCCTTACCGCCGCGACAGGATCAGCAGGCGGCGCTGAACCCGCCTCAGCCGGCAGCGGTGCAGCTCCTTTGGCAGCAACACCAGCAGCAGCAGCAGCAGATGGTGGTAGGACTGCCCAGAGGATATTCGTCCGTACAGCAAGTACAGCAGCAACAGCAACAATGAATTCAACTTGCACAGCAGCAGCAGCAGCAGCAGGGGTCTTACCAGCGGCCACTGCTGACACCATTTCCGCCACCCCCCCCACCAGACCGGCAAAGCGACATGCGTCGCGCGGATGGCCTGTTAGCCCCGGATCCACCACCATCCTCGGGTTCGCCACAACCACCACAACCACCACAACCATCACAACCACCACAACCACCACAGCAATGGCAACAACAATAACAACAGCAGTAACAGTAACAGCAGCCTTCTCGAGGCACATCAGAACAGCTGCGGGGGTAATGTGGCTGGACACGGATCTGAGGGCCCCGGCTGCTGGGTGCTGGACAGTACATGACCCCGACCCTGTCGTACTCTGGTCGTACTGGTTCAACAAACTTAATGGATTTAACCCCGCCGACACTTTAGCTGTCTTCACTGCGCCGCCGCAATCACACAGAGGTGCTACGTGGGGGCATTGCGATTGGGAGTTTGCTGGGAGCCCTCCGGGTGGGGGGTGAGGGGTGTACGAGAGAAGGATGAACGGCTGACAAACTTTTGATTCAACTGAAATGGATTCATTTACTGAATGTGTGGATCCGAGCGGCCCACTTGTCGGTTCCGCTGTCACTACCCGCTGGCCGTGGTGTTCAACTACCGACAAGTACGAAAACGGGGTGTCAAGTACGGCGCAGGACCCGGCCAGGTAAAACCGGGTCTTGGCCGGTGACCTCCGCGATCGGTTGTCGCCGTTGGAGTCCACGATACGGCATGGCAAGGCGCTATCGACAGTGTCGTACAATGAAGGTTTTGTTCAGCCTGTGCAGTTCACAATGACCTTACGTTGCTGCCGCTCAGCAGCATTCACCCCCCTCTACCCCGCTCCTCCAACCCCCCCCGCGTCTGTCCGTGTCCGCGTGTGTGTGTGTGTGTGTGTGCCACACCCACACTTAAAGCTGGCCGGACAGGTGGTTAGCAGCTTCAGTGACATTTCACAACGCCTCTGCTGTTCCCAACCTACCTGGCGGGTTCCGTTACAACAGGGCCGTACAAGTTGCTGCTGTCATAATGAACAAGGGCTTGTTGCTCGATTAGATGGGTAGGTGTGTTTGTGGTTAAGAAACGATTAGAGGAATTCGTTCAGGCCCGTGTTGCTCCGGGGGCTGTTGGATTCTTTTTCAAAGGGATTTCGAATCGCTGGAGCACTGCGACCTGTGTGAGGTGGTGAGAGTTGGGTTAGGTGGACGGTATCCTCCTAGGGGGGTTTAGGAGGGCGGGCGGGATGTGAAATCGTGCGCTCTCAGCGTCTGTTCAGCCAACCCAGCTTTAACACGGCCGCCATCAGAGCGCTGAACCGCAAGAGGGATTTCCAGATGCAGCTAGAAATAATTGACTCTTTTTTCCTTTTGCGGGGGAGCTTTAAAAAGTATTGTTTGTTGGCGGCAGTGTTTTGGGACCCTAGTGGTGTGACCCAGTAGGTGGATGCGGCCGTGCTGCCATACGTGCTGAGAGGCTGCTTGGGGGGGGGCATTGGTCCTCACTTTAGCACTCTTAATGACGCCCATTGACTCTTATCATGAGTAGCATCTTGTGTGATGTATGTTTTAGCAATATGTTTGTTCCGAAGGCAGACAAATCTGCAAGGTAAGGCGCCTGTTTAGGATACAGGGCCGGGAGTGAAAGTTGGCGGCGTATGCGAGATGGGTCTCTGGGCCTCGCAATGGAAATGTACGAATGGGGACGGGGAAAATGAATAATTTGGGGGGAGGTGGATGGGGGAGCCGATGACGCACCTTGCACCATGTACGTGTTGCCTTGTGTGGGTGTGTGCATTATGTATATATGTGTATAATAAATGTGTACGTGGCCCGTTTTTCGCATGCGTGTGACCTGGCGTATCCCCCTTCCGCCCCGGAGGGAGAAGTGATGGATGCCCGTTAGTAGGCCGAGGGCCGAGTAGGCAAGACGGTGCAATAGCAGATCAGAACGCCCGGGCATGCTCTGGGAACGAATGGCAAATAGCGCTGAAGAAAGATGTTCAGAATTCCTTGGCTTCCTAGTAGGAATGGCTGTGTCATTAAGACTCAAACGTGCTTTATGTTTACTACTCAGTGAAAATTGCTTGAGATCCTCATTTATAAGGATGGGGGCTGCTTGCTGGCCATGGCGGGGCTGGTATGATGATGCTGTCCGGTCCACGCACACGTCCCCCTTAGCCGCTGTCGCTTAGCCATCAACGCCTTGCTCGCTTATTATTCAGTCATATGCGCATCCTTCCAGGTACGGGCCCTAAGCCCCAGATGACGGGGAGCCAGAACAGACCAACTCTAACCGTTCGTCCCCGATTCATCACTCCTCTGTGCGCACTCACATCCACACCTGCGCCCAAGAACACAGGTGCCAAAACACACTTCATGTGGAAACCACACAGGTAAGTGATAAAAGCACTGGAGCATGCTGCGCACGCGCAGTAATATAACCAGCTGCCGCCTTTGCCTTTGTAGACCGCACATCCACAACGCACCGAATCTCACAAGTGAATGCACACAAGTACATAAATCGATCACAAAGCGTTTCAGATAATATGGTCCATATAAACAAATACAGATTATGTAGTTTCTGATTGCGACAAATGAATTATAAACGTTAAACAAACAAGTCACATGCTGCAACAACAACAACAACAACAGGGGGGGCACCACACTCCCTCATCCAGCTCGTCATGCACGCCGTTGTTCCACGCAATGTGCTGCTGGGGCTGCAGCAGCAGCTGCTGCCGCGCGACAGGACGGCGACAGGACGGCTCCCCGAGGCCTGAGGCCCGTTGTGCTCCAACAATTGGTATACGTGATATGACATAGGGCCCCCGGGGGGTAGGGGTATCAGGATGCAGATGCCCCGGACCCGTCCTCTGCCATCAGCGACGTACAGGCCGCCACAAGCACACGCCCCAGCTGGTGCGATACACACAGCGCGTCGCGGCCTGGGGGCTCTCTGTATGAGGATATGATGTAATGGACAGCGGACAGGGGGCCCGAGGAGGACGGAGGAAAGGAGGTGCCCCTTCAGGCCCATGCCCACCTACCGGCCTGGTTGAGACCCCACACCCCCTCCTCGAGACGGTAGACTGTGCTGAAGGTGCATCAGACATCTCCAGGAAAGCTCCACATGATCCGCTACGCCCTTCTACGGCTTCTACGCCCTTCTGAAACCCCTCCATTTCTTCGACGGCAAGGCTCCGCAACGGACATCAAAATGCAGCCAATGAAAATGAACTGAGCACATCCAAAGCCCTTTCTCCTCCTGCTATTGCTGCAACTGCTGCTGTTGTCGCAGCTTCCAACGTTTTTCCCTCATCTCATCCTTTATTAGATCCGAAGATTGTCCTCAACCTCGTCCTCCTCCTCACGTCCTCCTCCTCTCCTCAGTACCCCTCCATAATCCCACTGATTCCAACACGGAAAGTTGTGTCCACCAGAGGTTCCCTCCCCTCCATCCGCTGCCTTTACCTACGCCCCCAGCCCCTCGCCGCTCCCGCCGAAAAGGGGATCATCATCATCATCACCACCACCACTATGCCGGAACCGGGAACCTCCCCAAGGTTGAACTGAGGCTTAGTTGAGCTGAGGCTTAGTGCTTCCTGAATTTCCTCCGCTCCTTAGAATAGCGCCGTCTTCTTCATGATGCGAATGAACTCCTGCAGGTGTTACGAAGGGAGACACAGCATGGAGCAGCAGCAGTAGCAGCGTTCAGCGCAGCCAGCCAGGGCGGCGAAACAAGTAGAGCGGGAATCAGGATTCGCGAGGTGATCACTATGTGGCCCTAGCTATGTGCCCCCTTCGAGTGGCAATCTCCCCAACGGTTGCGCAGCCAGGTAGGTAGGTAGGTAGGTAGGTAGGTGAAGGTAGGTAGGTAGGGGCGCAGGTAGGTAGGTAGGTAGGTAGGGGCGCAGGTAGGTAGGTAGGTAGGTAGGTAGGTAGGGGCGCAGGTAGGTAGGTAGGTAGGTGAAGGTAGGTAGGTAGGTAGGTGAAGGTAGATAACACGAAAGACAGCGGAAAGGGGAGAGAGGAAGGAAAGTACGGGGGCACAGAGGCAGAGACCTGACACACTGTTAATGAGAATGGATTTCATTCATACTGCCTACTTCTGCTACCATTGCTACCGCTGCTACCGCGCCTTCTCCGGCTCCCCTACCTCCTCATTGACCTCTCCATCCCCGTCGCGATCAGCCTCATCGATCATCTCTTGAAGCTCCTCATCTGAGTGTGAGTGTAATGGGGGGGATTTAGGTGCATGCTGGGTTGATGTACGGAGTGGGGTGATTAGGGTGGTTTAACAATAACCCTTGTTCCCTCAGGGTGGTGTACGGTGTACGGTTTGTTGGTGTGTACCGTGTGATGCAGTCGCCATCAGGGGAACCACGTTGCGATTTGGGCGACCCCGTGAACGGATGTATGGACGTGCTTATGAGGGGGGGGGGAGAGATTGACGTGTAGCACCATTGCCCACTGCAGCATGTAACCTCCCGCACCTACCCGCCGCCCCCTCACAGTAGAGGGAGCTCACCACCTCCCGGCCTCGCTTCCCCCTTTCCCCCTAAGCCAACAGAGCACGTGGAAGCGAGTTGGGTTGTTCGTTAATTGGTTGACGGTTACCTGTTAGGTTCTCTCCAAGCTCCTTGGCAACACGTTTCAGGTCCTGGGGGCGGTCCAGGGTGGGGAGAGGAGGGACGGGTTTAATGCAGGTAAGGTTTAATGCAGGTAAATTTATTGAACTGGTGCGGGACGGGAAGGTGGAGCAGGGGATGTATGCAGGGTTTAACGGAAGGGCGATGCCGGTGACGAACAGAGACACGGCGCACCTTGAAGGTGATGGTTCCCGATCCGTCGTCATCGAACAGCTTGAAGGCTTTGAGGATTTCTTCCCGGGAATCGCGCTCGCCCATTTTCGCGGTCATGAGGTTTAGGAACCTTTGAATTTGCATGTACAGGAGGCGATGATTAAGGAGGGATAGAGGGGTCATAAACAGAAAGGGGGTTCCAGCTCGGCAGGGAAGGGGTGAAGGGGGCGCTGCCTAGGACAACTCGTCCGCGTGTCTCGCGAACTATGTTCTAGAACTTACTCCTCAAAATCGATAGTTCCAGAGCCGTCCTTGTCAATATCAGATATCATTTTCTTGATCTGCAGGGTTTATGTTGAAGGCAATATTTAGGAGCCAAGCGGCCGCGCCGATGCGAAATGTATAGATGTGCGAATGGCAAGCTTTCGCGCCTAACCCTTGGCAGTAACATACAATATCCTTGAAAATAAGCTCTTCATGGACGTACCTCCTCCTTTTTTGGCTCGAAGCCCAGCGCCCTGGGTCGCGGGAGTGCATATGGGTAATAGTTTAATGCATAACGTATTTAGTTTAAAAGGACGCGAAACAATCCAGTCATTCGCACATCATTAAGACAATTGCAGGCTACTTCGATGCACGACCGATAGCGCTCCTTGCATACCGCATGGCCACCTTGAGCTCCTTCGCGTCAATCGTTCCACTGCCATCTGTATCAAACAGGTCGAATGCTTCTCTAATTTCAGCTTTCTGCTCCTCCGTCAGCCCAGTTCGACCGCCCTTCTTGTCCCGGCGAGCAGCGGCCACGTTCTTCCTGTAAGACATGGTGACGAATTCAACTATGACAGGTTTAGTGTCTTCAATAAAACGTGACTGCAAAACAAACAAGTCTCAAAGCACACACAGTTTCCGCAACGCAATTGGCGCCGAAACCCAGCCGAAAGGGCAGCCCAAGAGTCAGCCTTGACGCTTTCACTAGTTGTGGGACCGCACTTGAGACAAAACCTAATAACAATAACCTTTGATGCTTTCAAGGTTCTGCGCTCTCTACGCTCTTCTCCTCAATTGTTCGCGTCCGGCCACGTCCGGCCGCGTCCGAGCAGCAGTCGCGCGGACGGCCTTGGACAGCAGCTCGATGAACCGGCGCTCTGTGTCCTTTGCCCGAAGGCTTACTTCCCGGAACGCCCTGGACCTTCACAATTACGAAAAAGAGATATGGATCCTGCTAAGAATTTAAGTTACCGATCCAAGCACTTGCAGGGCCGAAAAGGGATGATAATCCGTTGTACGGTTTTATTTCGTCGCGGCCAGCTCAATGGCAATGGAGGCGCGAATCCAAATTTGGCTGTTAGAATTACATCTTTAAGCTGTTGTTGCTTCGATGGCAATCGTATCGTAGCATACCAGGCATGAGGCGTCGTGAGGCGGCAAGTACTGTTTGTGCACATCAAGTGTGCCGGTGGTGCAGCGATGAACTGTGGGAGTAATCTTAACAGTAGCTCGGAATTCGATAGAAGCCGTGGATTTAAGAAATAGGTAGACGCGCCTCTTCTGGGAGTCGTAAATCGTCCCTTGGGTCGCTGTTGGAGGCTGGCTGAGGCTGCGGTACTAGGCTTGCATTCTATTGTGCAGAGCTCGCGTAGTGATGATCAAAGCGCTTATGACGCTTTATAATGGGGATCCTGGGAACAGTTCCAAATCAGTACTTTACTTTCTGTCGCAATTCGACGTCCGCCCGCCTCGCCAGCAGGCTTTTAGCAATGCGTAATTTCCTTTCCAAAACGTGTTGGATGTGACCGACACTCATCTACTAGGCAATGGTAGCCACAGTAATAGGACCCGGCTGGGGTCCGGCGCTTTGTTGGTTTTAACAAAACGCAGCCAGGAGTGAAGCACGTGGCGCCACTGCGGAGTCAGTGGTCGTGCCCTAATTAAACGCTTAAAACACCCTCTTACGCAACCCTGCATTACCACGAGATTGCAGAAACACCATCAGCTAATGTCCACCTTTAACGTGTATGAAAATTCTTTATCAAGCTGAGCATTTAAAGGGGCATCACCAAAGCCGCTCCATAGTGTCCTTAACTTAAGTTATATACGCCCTAAACTCTGAAGGTTGAATGAGTCTACGGAGTGATTGATATATGTTCGTTGTGTAAGCAGCCCTAGAATACAAGGTGATGAACGCTCTGAAACCATGACCTTGAAGACGGTCTTAGCAGAGTATGTTTCTTAAAATTAACGATGTTTTTAATTACATATTTAAGAGTCTGCACATTTATTAAGGAGGAATACCGCAATCATGCCTTTCACTAACCCTGCGTTGCCATCGTCTTGGCCTCAGCCAAACTGTACACAACCCACTTCTGGTGTCAGACACCGACAACCTTTCAGTTCAACATCCAGACACCACCAATCAGCGCGCTCAATTGCGCATCATCGCATGCCCGCTGCTACCTCCGCCTTTCCATCAGCACCCACTTCCACCACAACGAACACCCTCAGCGCCGATTCTCCTGGCTCCATGCGCCTGTTGACCGGTTTATCAGAGGTCGCTGGGCGCTACAAGGTAAGCACGCGTGTGCGCCCCTCTCTCCTCAACCTCCCCCTCTCCTCAGCCACCCATTCCCTCCTTCCCCCGCCCTCGCTCACATCGCCCCACAACGGCCCCCCTCTTTTCCTCAACCATCCAACGCAAACAAAAAACAGTTCATTTCCCACCCACCCACTCACCCACCCAGGCGCTGTTGCTGGATCAGTTCGGTGTACTCCACGACGGCCGGGTGCCGTACCCTGGAGCTGTAGAGGCGGTGGCTGCGGCCGCCGGAGCTGGTCTGCGGCTGCTGGTCATCTCTAACTCCTCCCGCAGAGCCAGTGGCACTCTCGACAAGCTGGCAGCCCTGGGCTTCGACAAGCGCTGCTTCGAGGGTGGGTGCCTGGATGGGAGCTTGGGGTCGGGTGGGGTGCGGTGGGGTTGGCGTCGCGGGGCTTTGGAACTGATGGATGGACAGATGGATGGGTGTGGTGCGGTGGCTTGGTTTTGGCCTAGGGTTTGTGGATGCGTTGAGCCCGATATCGTATCGGAGGTAGCACTTCATTGCGCGTTGTGGGGCGTAGTGGGGCTGGAGGATGCTGACGTGTGTGGTTGTCACAATGCTGACGTGTCTTCTGTGAACAGTACAATGGGGCATCTGGTGAAGCTGGACTTGCTACGAAGCTACCCGACGTCCACCCCCCCACCGGTCTCGGCCGGTCCTCACTATCATGCATTCCATGAACTCCTGCCCTTCTTTTCTAATTTAAGTTTTTCCTTGTTTGTTATTTTTGTATAACATATTTTCGGCTCTTCCCCTTAACTCGTGCTTTGCTTGCGGACTTTGCTGATCAACCTCGTACCGCCCGGCATTTCTTGTTGTCGTCCCGCTAGGTTCTTCGTAAGGGATCCATCGAATGGTTTTTCCTTCTCGTCAAGCGTCTGTGCTTTGTCGTACACGCTAACTGAATCCAATTCGGACCTGAATCCAAATTGGATTTGATTCCGTGAAACCTGACTAATCGAATCTCTCAGGCCTGACCTCAAAATTTCCAAATGCCTGGATCCGGATATCGTACCTGGATTTGTTGATCAGGCGCGGTGACTAGTGGCGAGCTCACCCACCGTTACCTGACCTTGCGACCTGATCCGTGGTGGGCGGCTCTGGGCCCTCGCTGCCTGCACGTGAACTGGAGTAGGCGCGGACCCACATCGTTGGAGGGCCTTGGATTGCAGGTGGGCGGTGATGGGGGTGGGAGGACCTTGCGCGCAGGGGACCTTCCACCGCCCTGCCTGCCTGCATTCTTTAGTGCTTTTGATTTCCTCGCGCACTTTGCCCGGCTCGTTGGCCACGTTTCTGATTTGCACGCGCGTGTTTGTGTGTGGGGAGGGGGAGCGGCCGTGCGGGGCCCAGGGGCACAAACTCCCCAGACATCGCCCGTCACACCCTCCCTTCCCTCCATCTATCCTCCCTAAGATCCATCCTCGCGCCGGCCTTGCACTACTCCGTGCTTTTTTGCTTGCTTTCTCAGTTGGTGACCGACCCAGGGGACGCTGATTTCTTTCTGGCTCACGGCACGGAGGCTTTGTCCCTACCCGGGGGTGGTGTGTTGGAGAGGTCCCTGGGGGAGCTTGAGGAGCTGCTGCGGGGGGCTGCGGAGGCGGCTGCCCGGGCGGGGGTGAGGCCGCCGCCGCTGGTGGTGGCTAACCCGGATGTGGTGCGTGATGGTCAGCTGGATGGGGGATGGTGGGTGGGTTTTGACGTGGCGGGAAAGCTCGGGGATAATGACCGTGTGGGTGACCGCGGTCAGGTCCTAGGGAGAACCGAAAGTACCGTGCTCGTACAGCAAGCCCCCCACGCGCGCGCACACCAGGTGGATTTATGTCTGAAGATAATCTGGGTCGATGCGCCCTCGTTGTTCGTCAGGAGCGCTCTTGTGACCCGTGGGTCAGTTGGTGTTCATCTGTGGCGGGTCGTGATCGGCTGCTTTATTCTTCCCAAGCACTGTGCCCTACAGCACAACCCCTCCAAACCCCCGGGTCCCCCAACTCCCACCCCCCCCCAGGTCACTGTGGACGGCACTGAGCTGGTGGCCATGCCCGGCTCCCTGGCCGCCGTCTACTCAGCCGCGGGGGGACCGGTCGTGTTGATGGGTAAACCCGCCCCCCTCATCTACTCCGCGTGCGGGGAGCTGTTGAGGCTCCCCGCGGGGGACATATTGGCTGTAGGGGACTCCCTGGAGCATGACGTGGCGGGGTAAGGCGCGGGAGGTTGGGTAATTGAGGGGGGGAGGAGAAGAAGTTGTGGGGGTGACTAGGGCGAATGGTGGATCGAGAAACATCGTACCTAGTGGGGGTGTATGTGCTGTGCCGCCCTGTCCTCCTTATCAGCTCCGGATAGCTCATAGAGGTCCGCCAGTAGGTCCCTAGGGGCCCCTATTGCCCAGCTCCGGAACCACCAACCTGCCATTAACCCCCCTCACCTATCCCCCCACCCCCCTACACCTCCCCCCAGCGCCGTGGCTGCCGGCATCGACTGCTTGTTCATTGCGGGGGGCATCCACTCCGGAGAGCTACTGCGACCACCGACAGCAGCAGCAGCAGCGCCAGGGAAGAAGGAACTGCAACAGCATCAGCAGGAACAGCAGACGGGGGGGAGCACTGTCAGCCGACGCGATGATGGTGATGGTGCCGCAGGGGGGCGCGGAGGTGGTAGTATGGGGAAGGAGGGGGCAGCGTTAGAGGACAGAGCGGTGCAAGAGGTGGACTTGGCGGCGGTGAGGCAGCTGGTGGTCCGGCACTTGACAGCGCAGAAAGTGGGGCCGGGGTCCGAGGGGGCACGTGTGGGTGAGGGCGCGGAGGTGGGTGTGGGTGTGGAGACCGCGGCGCCGACTTACGTGGCGGCGCGGTTCGTGTGGTGACATACGAGTAGCTTCGTGAGGTGAAAAAGGTTTTTGAACGGCGCGTGACGTGTATCGCTATTTGCTGTATTGCACGTTTGCGTATTCTGTTGAGCATAGGAATTTTGCAGAGGCGAAGGGTTGGCGACATGTACCGGACCTCGTAGCGTGCGGGGAGGATGACCAAAACTCAACTCGTCTAGTATGCCGCACTTACGGTATTCTGGTTGTTTGCTTCCTAAGGGCACGGAGTTTGCTCAGGTTGATAGTCGGGAAACGGAAACCACGACCCGGCAAGAGAGCGCTGCACTTGGGGCGACGCAAAATCCTCCGTTAACGCGCGCAAATCATATTCCGGACCCGAGGTCGCACCTTGACTATTCAGGCGAGCGCGGACCCCCGCCAGGTCTTGTTGCATCTGGACCAACATCACAGCGATGTCCGGCCCAGCAACCGCCGCACCAGGCATAGTTGCCGATCTCGGCACCGCGCTGGGCGCCATTCCGCCTGCTAGCGGCGTAGCGCCGCCGCCCATCAGACCTTGCATATATGGAGAGGGGGGCTGGGAACCATAATGGCCCGGCATCATGGCGCCAGCAACGCCGCAGAAAACGACAAAACCCGCCAAAACGGCTCGGACGGTTACTGATACGGTTGCCATGGTCCTCAAGACGACGACGACGTAGCGATAATGGTGCTCCTTCAATCAGGGCACTTTACCCGATGGGTCTTGCTGGAGAGCTGAAAGCACAGCGGAAAAAACAGAAAGCGCACCGAAGGCGCGGGACCTGCCTCGTTGTTCGGCGCGTGCTGAACAACAAAAACAAGATACAGAAAACCTGCATCGCGCGCTATTTATGCAAAAGGCGATCCTGAGGACACGGATCGCCGGCCTCAAGTCGCACCACTTAACAGCCGTAAGGCCCTACGCCTTAGCTAACCCGGCTCAAGCTTCGCATAGCCCGCATGAGTCAGTTACAATAGAGCACACGCCTGTCAGCCAAATTGTTTTAGACGATGAAAGAGAAAAACGAAATGTATCGTGCATGCACGACTATGTGTTGCATGCACGACTCCGTCTCAGTAGGGCATGAGTCAGCACGCAAACTGCAAAAAGGTAAGTAGTCGCCATTTAATCCGTTGCAGATATAATTAACAGGAGTTGTGTAGCATGAGCATAAGAAGCTGAGTTGCATTATGCTGGAAATGGCCGTGCTTGCGCAACGAATAACGGATACTCGGTTGAAAAACTGCACCTTGAAACCTTCCAGAATGCAGCTGAAATAATGACCAAAACTCAAAGAACAGCATTATGTGAGACTTTGATTAGGACTTACTCGCGCAAAACCCTGGAAAAGCTTGCAAGGGATCCACACTCTAGTCACCACACAAGTAGGCCAGGCCATAGAAGATATCTGGAAGACGCGCTATCCTGCGTTACTCTTGTATATAACTATATAATCTTATCCTGAAGTTGACATCTGCTATGCTTTTACATTTACGAACAACAGCTCATGCTCGCTCTCTACAGATGCAACCGGCAAAGGGCAATGCGCTGCATCACTTGAATCGCTCAAGTCGAGAACACAGGCCATCGGGCTTCACAATAAGCTGTCTGCGCGGCTCCAATGTATTTGCTTTGCGGTCAGTCTGAACAGGCATCGGCTGTCTTCAGACCGGGTGCGGGACCCCTTTTCCGAACCGAAGACCTTTCTTGGCGCAACTTAAAATCATTAGGTAGCTTCCAAGGCCCAAGTGCCCAACTGTATGACTGTGTGCGCACCTTAGTAACCCAAGGTTCGCATGCGCAAGATGACCTTGCCCTTACCTTTGTGTTGCATTTCTTCCACAGGAATATCAAGCCCCATGCCGAGGCAGCGGAGGCGACAATCTTGACGACGGCAAAGGCCTCAACCGAATCTGTTGCTGCGGCAACGGCTCTCCCATTTACACGGGTCCCACGCGGCGGGTTGGCCGCTATTGCCCTCGCCGGTGCGTAAGCGCGACATGATGACGTGTCAAAATGGAAATGCCGTACAGCGGTACTGAAGGAGGTTCGACCCCCTTATATCGAGCCCGTTTGCTATCCTGTGCTGCTGTCCTGAGCGTACGACTGTCAGCGCCGCAGCGTCGAAGATTGCCCGCAGTCTCACCCCCCAGGGCCTCTCACGGGTCCATGAGCCGAGTCTGTAACGGTCAGGTCGCTGCGAGCCACACGCATTTCTGTGCCCCCTCCTTCTCTCTACCCCCCCCCCCTGTCTCTATCTCGCGGTACCCCTCGCTGTGCTTCTTGCGTTCCTGCCTCCGGGGTGTACTCGGGGACACCGTGGACTGCCGTACCGCCCAAGTCCCCGGGCGGACTGATAATGATGATGGCGGTGATGGTGATGGTGTTCTTGACGCAGACGTATTGATCGCCCCCCTCGCCCTCCTGCTGCTTAACCATTGCAGTCGCCCTGAACCTGCCAGTACCAGTACCAGTACCCGTCCCGGGCCTTATGGCGGCACCGGCAGCACATGCTGCTGTGGAATATGTCTCTGCCGGGGCGCTGGCGGCGCCTCCCGCAGCTGTAGCGGCTGGTGGTGGTGGTGCTGATGGTGTTTTGCCACCAAGGGAAGGCGGCACGGAGACGGCAGCGAGTGGACTGCAGACGTGAGTCCTCCCCTGCTTCCCTCTCCTTTTCCCCTGCCCTCGCACACGTACATATATACACATACACGCGCGCGCGCGTGAATCGTAAACAAGATCGCCTTCTCTCCCCCCCTTAAAGAAACCCACTCGCATCCATTTCGTTTCGTTTTTGTTTGCTGTGTGGCACCCACAGCCGTCATTTCATTCTCCCTCCCTCCTTGCCCTGCCCTGCCCTGCCCTGCCCTGCCCTGCCCTGCCCTGCCCCGTCTATGCAGGGTGTATTTCGGTAACGGGTGCTTCTGGGGACGTCAGAAGGACTTTGTGGATGTGGAGCTACAGCAGCTGGGTCGCGCCCCCGAGCAGCTGACGGCGCTGGCGGGCTACGCGGCCGGAACCAAGACGGGGCCGGGCGGCAAGGTCTGCTACGTGTACTCAGACCCGCGGGTCAGTAGGGGCCCGCAAACACCCTCCATACAGCAGTAGCAGCAGCGGCCCGGGAGAGGGGGGAGGGGGCTTCAAGGGGGGAAGGGGGCCATGCACGCCAGGAGGTGGCTGGGATGGGCGGGAAGGGGTTCCGAGGCCCCTGCGTAGGCCCCGGAAAGCAGGTAAGTGATCCGTGGGGGGGTGCGCTGCGGGGGAATCCAAGAGTGCTGGTCGGGTGGCCTGGAGGGAGCGGGGGCAGGAGGGGGAGGGGGCTGTTGCAACGCCTGTTGGCAAGTTGGCGTGAAACCGGGGAGCGGCCCTAACGCGGTTGTGTTGGGTGGTGGTGGGGGCCGATGTCGGGCAGACGGCTGTCTAGGTTCTTGGAGTCCCTACCGGGTTGGGCCACAAGTAGGGTGGAGGAGGAGGAGGAGGAGGGGACTACTTCGGGACCGTAGGGCCCCCCAACCCCCCACCCCCACCCCCCACCCCACCCCACCCTACACACGCACACACACACACACACACACACACACACACACACACACACACACACACACACACACACAGGCCCCGGCGGACGTCGCCATCCCCCGGCTATGATCATCATGGCGCCCGCATGCCGACCTCCGCCCCTTCTCCTTCTCCTTCCTACTGCTGCTGCTGTTGCAGACTCGTTATGACTCTCTCGGCCATGCGGAGGTGGTGCAGCTGGGAGTCAGCGCCGACCCGCGGGTCGCTGAGACGGAGATGAGGGCCTTTGCCGCCCGTTACTTCCAGCAATTCAAGAAGACACCTGGGGGCATGCAGCGCTCGGTGAGTATCCGTCAGTCTGTGTGTCTGCCTGTCTGTATGTCTGATCCCCTTCCCCCTTCCTATAACCCCCTCCTCCTCCTCCCCCTCCCCGTCCTCACACCACCACTGCGGCCCACGAGCACCCAGGACCCGCAGGATAAGGGCGCGGCCTACCGCAACGTCATCGGCATTCCGGGGGGGGTCAACTCACCTCTGTTCCACATCGTCCAGGTAGGGGTAGGGTAGGTGGGGGCCTGGGGTGCGGGAAGGTGGGGAGGAGAGAAAGAGAGGCTGGTTGACAGACAGACAGACAGACGGGCTAGGCAGGCGGCTGGCAGAGGTTAAGGCCTGACTTCTGCTCCCGGAGTGTCCGGGTTCAAATCCGCCTGCCGACCCCTCGGATGTTTGAGGGGTGTTGGTTTGGGAGGTGGGCCCCCATCGTGTGGACGATGTAGGACGCGATTATATCAACTTGCGAGCTGACCAGGAACTAAGTTGAGGCGCCGTTGATCCGCTAGATTTCGTTGGATGCTGGTGGTGAGTTGCTGAACCCAACGAATACGTTCTGAAGTCGGATGGGGTGAATGGATTAGGGTGCCCCTCTAGCAGGGGAGAGCAGGGAACTGCCTCGGGAAAGGGGCCCTCTGGTGAAGCTATACCACCCTGTAACAACATACAGACATACATACAGACAGACAGAGAGACAGACAAACGGACAGGTCGATAAGTTGCCGTCTTTCAACGTCCTCAATTCTCATGGGGCAAGGGCGGATGAGGGTGAGGGTGCGGGAAGCGGTTTTGCTCGATGAGATGCCTTCTCATGCGCGAGGGGGGAAGGGAGCGGAGTAGTGCCATTTCACGCGCGCAATTCCATCCATGTTATTCCTTTTGCCCTTCTTCTGCCGTACATCGTACAGGAGGAGAACAAGTACAATATGGAGCTGCGGGAGGGTCGGGGCAATGCAATGGGATGGGGGGGCCCCACGGAGGTCAGTGTGTGTATGTGTATAAGCTGGTTTGTATGTATGTATGATTGTATTGTCTGTTGTGTGTGTGGCCGCCTTTGGCGGCTATGTGTGGAGGGGGCCGAGGGGTTGGGGTTGGAGGTGGAGGCGGAAGGTCAGCGGCAAAGCAACAACAAAACAACAGCAGCAAAACACACCACCGCAACCCCCACGACCCCACCAGGCCCTACAGGTCAGGTTCCTGACTGACCAAGTCGGGGGGATCCCGGTGGCTCCTGACTGACTGACTGACTGACGGACGGACTGACGGACTGACGGACTGACGGACACGGTGCTGCAAACCGAAACCCGCATTAGTGTCTGGAAGGGATCCCTTCACGCACACCCCGACACTCTGGGTGGCTCGCTTATGGACTCTCCGTTGCCCTGAACGACATACAGGACGACATCCTCAACACTGTGTGGGTGGTGGACTCGAGCCAGCTCCCCTTCTTCCGGGCGGAGCGCTACCACCAGTTCCACCACGGCCTCGGGAAACTGTTTTCCCAGGTGGGTCTCCCTGGGTGTCCAAGAGCCCTAGTAGTTCGTAGGTACAGCGGGTCGGTCGGAAAGCGCCCGGGGGGAGTGGAAGGAGGGGAGGTTGGAGAGAGGAAGTGAGGAACACACACGTACATACACACATACATACATACACACGTGTACACCCCCTGATGTCCGCCCCGCGAGTTAACCCCGGATGGATCGGGTGCCCCACAAACCTAACTCGTCCCACCTTCTAACTGCCTGCCGTACTTCCGTACCCCGCAGGATTACGTGCGCGATCTGCGAGGCATCATTGCGGGGTTGGGCCGTATCGACCCGACCGGCTGTCCTGAGCTGCCGTACTAACCAGCGAACACATTCACTCCTCGAAGGGGGGAAGTGAGGGAAGGGGGGAGGGAGGGAGGGAGGTAATTAGAGCCAATGAAAGAAGAAGAAGAAGAAGATGATGATGATGAAGAAGAAGAGCGCTTCTGGAGCTGCATCCGGTGCCGGAATGTATGTTTGGCCGCCATTTAATGTGCCGGACATTGCACCAAAAGTTTTTCGGTTACACGGACTCCGTTCATGTTGTGAGGTGGTGGACATTTTGGTGCCTTCCCCGGGCCTTATCCATGTAAGGCTTTCTGTACGGCTAACCAATCCTGAGTGTGATGCCCGCTGGTGATCCCTAACCCCTTTTTAAGAAGGAATTACCACAAGGCAACGATGTATCCTTTGAAAACCTAGGAAAATTGACGAGCGAGCCCGAATTTCGGAGCAGATTCCCTAGGGCAGCGACTAAAACGAAAACGAAGGAACGTAAAAACGACTTATTGGATCCCGAAGGCTTTCAGACCAGCTTTGGATCCCGCTGTACATTTTCGATGATACCACATTTTACAGAAGCTTTACTGTTTTTTTTTGCGCGTAAATGGTTACTGCCGTACATATCACTCCTGCCTCTCTTAAGTAACTCGAGATAATCGAGTAGGGTTGCCTGCCCCTTACACAAACACGCACATATGGTCTTTCCCTCTCCTCCTTCTTCTCCTCCTATATCTCGCTCTACATTCAGGCGGCAGAGCAGCCCCCGCCACAGCGGTTGCAGTTGCAGTTGCCTAATTCGGGCATTATCGCAAAAGAACGCGATACTCCCCAACCAACATCTCTCCTCACGGTGCGCCAACCGCCAACCGCCAACCACCCTCCGGATCACCCGAAACCCCCTACCTCACACATACACACACACAAACGCCCCAAACGGCCACAAGCGGATCCCAGTCGCTTCCCTTCTATGGTAATCTCCCCCCGGAGGGGGAGGGGAAAAAAGGGGCACAGCGGTCTTTGAAAACCCTGACGCTCTCAAACCTCCCAAAACACGCTGAGACGCCCACACGGACAGACATACGGACACATGCTTGAACACACACACACATACACAGGTCTTAGAGAAATCCACAAAACACTGCTACCCCCTACCACCCCTACTACCGCGGCAAGAACCCGTACCATGACCACAAAGATCCAGGCTACTGCCACCATCACCTGCAGAGTGGTTCGTACTACCCTAGCACGTGAGCACATCAAGTGCGTCTGGCGACCCGTGGCTCATTACTTATAACGATAGAAAGCTAGTCACATACCTACACACTTAGGGTTATACACGCACACGTACAGGCATACAGAGATGCACGACGGCTGCAATGCATACATACATACGTACATACATACATGTATACATATACATACACAACACGCCCCGTATCCGTGTGTGTGTACGGTACATCCACACAGTTACTATAGTGTTGTACTATCAGTACGGAGATCATCCATACGGGGTTCACGTACTGCGGAAGGTGGAAAAGGTTCCCCCGGCAACGAGAGGAGCGAAAGAAGGTCCTTCTGAGGCATCAACCATACTAACCGACCCACGGGACTCGCCGCCTGACGCACCACCCGGTTTCTGTGTGTCAGCCCCGACACGTTAAAAAGAATGTCTGCAACTACAGCCACAGCGCGGCATCCGGGAGTTGCTACTGCTGCTGCTGCTACTGCAGCAACGTATACGAGTGAGTGTAAACCCTAAGTCCGGTTGAAGTACGATGGTGACGGCGGTGATGGTGACGGCAATTAACACAGCAGCACCGAGGTAACCAGCTTGCGGAGCCCTCCCACCGTACCACACTCCACCGCACCGCAGCTGAGGGCACAGGCCAGTGAAGCTGCTCCCCCCCCTCCCTCCCCGCCCCGCCCGACTGCAGGAGCAGTCCGGTCGCTGCATAATGGCTAGCAGCCTCCCTACCCGAGCAGGCCAGGCCAGGGCAGGGCAGGGTAGCTGTACAGCAGGGCCGTGCTTACATGCTCCCGGACAGCCGTCTCTAGACTTGTACGGCAGTACGGCAGGCGGGCAGCCAAGTCCGCGCGGTCCATTAAGTGCCAGCGACCCACTCCACTGCTAGAGACCCCGGCTTGATGGTACCAAGAGCCTCATGTACGACAACCTTATATATCTCCAGATTGGACATGACGTAATCGTATAATAAACAACCGGTAAAATAGTTGGTAAAAGCACCTCGCCTCACACAAAACCCAACACAACCCAACAAAGCCCAACACAACCCAACCGGCTATGTGACGACGACGTGACGATCCGCAGTGGCGGTAACGGTCACCTTCCTCCAAAACACCAAAACATCCCCTCCCGCCCGAAAAGTACCCTCGTATGCTTGTTGCCGTATAGACAGCTTGCGAAGTGTTGCATTTTTTGTACAACAACATGGGGCGATAACGCTTCGCCACCGAACCACCCGCGATAAATAAGATTCAGATCCTATATTCGAAGGAAGGACCGTTACAAGAGCTGATCACCCTACGGCGGGTTTTATTCTCACGCACCATCGTCCACCGCCCCCGGGGGGCCCCCCGGGCTTGCATGAGACATGGACGGGTGAGCGCACCCTACGTAACCCATCGCTGGCCAGACGGATTGACATCCCATTAATGAGTAAGAGGCTGAGTGTGTGTATGCTCTTGTACGGCACCTGCCATACACACATGCCGTACATTGCTTTTCCAGCGTGGCCCTTCAAGCAGGACGTGACAGCTGCGGATAAACAGTCGCCATCGTTGTGTGGGGTTGCGGGATATTCTGGAGGGGAGTTGCACCGACGTTCAGACGTCCGGAAACATCTTCTTAGTGTTGCGAGATTGTTGTCTTCTTCGATGCCCGGCTTCGTACATAAACACAGTCCCGGGGTAAGTGTGCTCCTTTGGATGCCGTACTCCCGGTCGTGCGGTACGGCATAACAGATAGACAGACCTGCTGAAATGTTGCCAAGCTACCGCTTACCAAACCGCCACCCCTATCACTCAGCTCAAATCGGCCGCGGCGCGGCCTCAACTTATTGGCCCCCTTGGCTAAAGGTGCCCTTCACAGCCCAAAGTCTGTATGTACCTCTATGTCCCGGGGGGGGGGCCGACTGGGACCTCTTCCGCGCGCGCGGTGCTCGTCAACTTCTGCAAATTTTCTTCCAAATTCCTGAGAGGACACCTAAGCCCCATGCCTCTGAGAGAACCTTCCGCACATCACAAAAAACGTCGTCCAGGGGGGCCAATGCAGCAACACACGCCATGCGAGCCGGTAAACCCGCAAAAACAGCAATTTCTACGCCTGCAAATCACGCACACACGCACACACGCACGAATACCTACATACGTACATACATACAACATTGACGAATTGCGTCCGTTGCGCAAATGCCCCTGGGATACTCCTGATGGCGATGACGATGCTGCTGCTGCTGCTGCTGCTCGGAACCAGATTGGGACGATGGTAAAATCCCTTCACTCGTGGACCCGCCGCACGCTGCCATTGAAAGGGCGGCGGTGGCGGCGGCGTGGATAATGAAAAAGCACGCTGCTGTAGCGGCTGTAACAGCGACACACCACGCGCATCACTGCTGAAAAAGCACACAGCAGCCCCCGCTCTCTCGTCCCCCGTTCCACCACCCTCCACCACACTCCCGACCCCACACGCCCCGGGACATGCGAATGGTCGACTTGGGACGCGGGCCGAGTGTGCTACTACGATTTGTCAGCCACTCCGAGCAATTTGGAGATGCTGGCCCCAGCCCGACGCCAGCCTGGGCCAGCCCAGTTTGGGTCGGGTCGGGTGCCAGGGGGAGAAGCAGCGAGTGCCGTACATTGTGTGGGAGAGCGAGATACGCGGATAGCTAGGATCGACGGACAGATATATCGACGGACAGAACGAAACGGGGGCTGTTAGCAGGCCCGTCATAGCTCTGAGAATTGCGAACGGGGTCCCCGGCCGCGGCAGGCAGACAGAACACACACCCTGAGTCCCGGAGCCCCCACATGTTTCATTATGATCCGCCTCAATTCGGCGAGAGCTTCGTTCCGTACATACACACACGTACACACACGCACAATTTCGAGATTAAAGCGGTGCGGCGTGCCGTACCACTGCATGAATTTAAAAAGAGAACGCCAAAATTTCCGCCATTAGGTTTACACAGCCCACAAATAAAAACCTCTTAAATTACCCGGGAGCCCCCTCCCCCCTAGGTACAGCCATTTTCGGGCCTCCTCGAAGTCCTTTGAGGGCACATAATCTTCAATTCTCAGTTGCTCGTCCATCCTGCCTCGTGCGTTACCGTTCCGTACAAACGGGCATTCGCTTTATCCAAGCGTATATATTTAAAAAGGCAAGCGTGCGAACCACCGCCACGCGGCGCCTTCACATGCACAGCAAGAACAAAAGTGCCAGGAGGCTCCGGATGGGTATATCGCCCTTACTAAACCACCGCTCCGAGAGTTTTAACCGTGAGCTGCCGACGACGCCCCACTCCCGACCCGACCCGACCCGACCCGACCCGACCCCGCCGCATTCACAGCGGCCACCAGGGGGGAGAGCGGCGGCCCTCTGCAAATAATGAGGCTTCATGGGGCCTTCGTGTGCTTCATGAGCACCAGACCTCAATGCCACAAAATAGCTAAAACAGGACCAGCAGACAACAGCTAGAAACAGCCCGCTCAATCAAGCCTTCCCAGACATCTCAAATCACAGCGCCGCACGGGGAGTGCGTGCCAGTCTCCGTTTCCCCTCCCCTCCCCCTCCCCCCTTTCGGACCTTGAAGAACACCCCCGCAGTTCATTTCCCACGTCCTCGCATACGTTCCCCTCCCTCGCCCCCTGCCTTCCCGTTCCCTTCCAGGGTAACTGATCCACCCAGGGGCCAGATCGCGGCCCAGGGAAAGGAAAGAAACGGAACAAAAAGCCGCCATACGCAACCCCCACACCCCCCACACCCACACACTTGCCTCCATCCCTCGGCGGCTCTCTCGCAAGTGCCGCAGCAAACACACGATCCGCGCGTGTAGAAGAATCAGGACAGCAGATAGGACAAACAGACAGACAGACAGAATCACAACGCGCGGGGTGACATCCGTGTTTTCCTCACGGGAGAAAGTTTTACCCACGTGGTATTGTCGTACACCACACGCACGCTCGTCTTCATCGCCCATCATTATCAGCTTCACCAGCCAGCCGTGATTAGCCATGACATGCCTCAACCACCCAGCTCTACAGCTCGTCCCCCCGCAGGGCCCTCTCCCCTCTTCTGCGCCTTCTCGTCAAGCCCCCTCAACCCGAAATCACCCCCCTACACACACACACACAACAATAACTCCCCTCACACAAGCGGCACCCTCGGTCAAGATCCCCCAGTCTCTTTCGAGGCAGCGAACCGCGTTGCTGTACGTTGATGTACATCTTTCCCATCCCCCTGCTATAGCTATACCTATAGTTATAGCTACAGCTACTGCTACAGCTGCAGTAGCGGACCAATCGTTCCCGCGCTACGGGAAAACGACGAAGACGGGGAGGACGACATTTTCATGGCTGGTCCACATGCCTGCGCACCGCCTCCCCCCGCGCCTCCTCCTGCCCCCCGCAACACCAGGCCGCCTCGTCCACCCGAAACCTGCTGCTGCTGCTGTTGCGGCGGTGGCGGGCGCTGTGCCAGCGAGCCCCTCCCCGACATGAGCAGTGTCAAGGGGTCCGCGGGTTCCGCCGCACTGCAGCCGCTGATGCTGCCGCCGCCGCCGTTGCCGCCGCAGCCGCCGCCGGCGCTCCCAGTCTCCGGCAGCGCCTCCCCCTCACAATCCATACAGTCCAAGAGGTCGCCCGAGTCCAGTCCCATCGTCACGACGTCCACCTTGGCGGGCGCCGCCAGGAAAGACAGCAGGTCGACCGGCAGCAGACCGGAGCCCGTTTGACCTGAGAAGCCGCCGCTGCCGCAGCAGCCGCCGCCGTCACCGGCAGCGACGGCAGTGACGGCGGAGCCTGGCGGCGGCGGCGGCGTTGCACCCGCGGACCCTGTCATGCAGGCGCCGGCGCCGCTGCCCGCAGCCTCGCCAGTAAGCGACTCAGTGCCCACGGCGGCAGTGGCGGCGGGGCTGCTGTCGGTGGCGGCGGTGGCGATGGCGCCGCTGCCGACGCCGCGGAGCAGCCCCGGCGCCCAAATGCCAGACTGCCAGGCAGCGGTGGCAGAGCAGCCGCCGCCGCCGCCTCCTCCTCCACTGCCCACAGTTTGTAGCGATCGCGGAGTTCCGCCGGTGGCCCCCGGCGGGCGCTGCTGGTGCTGGTGCTGCGGTGTCGTGCCGTTTAGGCTGGTGAGGCCTAAGGGGGCACCGAACGTCCGAGGCGAGAGGAGTCCGCTGCTGCCATTGCTGTAGCTTTCATTGCAGCATGCGGCGACAGCGGTGGTGCCGAACATTCCCAGGGCCGAGCCTCTCCGCGGAGCTCCCAGGGGTTGAGGACCCAGCTGTAGCTGCTGGTGCTGGTGCAGGTGGGTGGGGTTGAGTTGCGGCAGGTGTTGCTTGGATCCGGGATCCAGATAACCTTGCTGCCCTGTGTGGTGTTGGGGATAATTGGGGCGCAGTTGAGGTTGGGGAGGGAAAAGAAGGTATATATGCGCGTTCATGTCTGTGTCTGTCTGTCTGCCTGTCTGTCTGTCTGTTTTTTAACGGCAAAGACTAACACGAAGGTCCAATTCGCCTCGGTTCCCTGCCCGGTGCGGGATTCGAACGGGCGCGTGGTCGTCTTTGGAGGGTGGGTTACCCGTCTTGAAGGTCCTGACCCCCCCCAGTCACCCGTCCCGCTTTCCCCCCGCCAGCTTGGGAATCACCTGGCAGTTCCTGGGTAACTGTACGACCAACCGTTCTGTACGACATCTCGCTCTAGCACGTTAACAGTACCGGTGGAGAAAGGGGGGCCCTACAGTACCAGGAGCAAAAGCCGCCGCACTCCTTTTTGGGGGGTTGGCTTTCCAGTTTGTCACTGGGCCATCCAACATTTCCCTTTTGGGTATTAGGTTTAGCATCATATGTGTTAGGCAATCTCCGCCATATCTTAGGTTCTATGTACATGTGTGTCATGCGCCCCCTCACGGCCCCGCCCCCTTCAGGAAGGGCAGGAGAAGAAGACGCCATCGCGCACCTGACGTCAGCACTTCCGCTGTGGACGAGCAACTCGCCAGGCTCTGAAGTTCTCCGTAGGTGTTGTGGGGCGCCACAAGGCCCGGGCCAACCCGGTGTACGGCACCCAATGAATGAAGGTCTAGTGAGTTCGGTCCCGGAGTGCAATGGTAGGGGGAGGTGAAGGCGGCGGCGGAGTACGACGCGTACGGCGTGCCTAGCGGCCCCAAACCGAGCACGTCATCTTGAAAAAACGGCTGCTGCTGTGGCTGTTGCTGCTGCTGCGGAGTTCCCATTTCTGGTAATGGTAAGCTAAGCATTCCGGCTAGTGGTGGGTGGGGTTGTACGACATGTAACCGTCCCCTCTGTTCAAGTTCAGCTAGCAATGAATCAAACGCATCGGGCTGTTGCTGTTGCTGCTGTTGTTGCATATCTTGAAGATGATGTGGGGGCAGTAGCGGGACTGATAGCTGCTGTTGCTGTTGGCGGTCCCCGGCGGCGCCGCGGGGGGGCCCGGAGGGCCGACCGCCTCCGCCTCCGCCGCCGTCGCCGCAGTGGAACACGGTTCCATGGGCCCCGGCGGCATCCAGGCTGCTGTCGAGCAGGGCGGATCCGGGACCGCACCGCTGCGACGACGTCTGGGGCCCCAACATGGCCATCAGGTCCTCCGCGGTCAGATCCAGGTCCCCGCCCAGAAAGTCGTCAAGCTCTAGCCCCCCGCTGCTGGGCGGCTGCGGCTGCTGCCCTCCCGCGCCCGATAAGCCGCCTCCTAGCCCCGTACCGGCGAGGCCAATGGCGCCGCCGGCGGCTGCGGCCGTCGACGCGAGTGCCGGTAGGGATGACGAGGAGGGGGGAGCCAGCAGCGTCTGGTGGTGACCGGCGCGCGGCGCCAGAGGTTGGCTTCCGCCTCCTCCTCCCGCTGGGGTGATGAGTCCGCTGGCGGTGCCGCTGTTACGGGCTAGGAGGAGCTGTTGGTTCGAGTTACCGCTACTGTTGCTGTTGTTGTTGTTGTTGTTGGGTGCTGACATTGTGGCTAGAAGTCCGTAGAAGGGTTGCATTAAAGTAGGGCGTTGCTGCTGTTGCTGTTGCTGTTGGAGGAACTGAGCTCCAGAGGAAGGTGAGTTGGCGAATGCTAAAATATCTCTTTGGCCTTGTGCATCTGGCTGTTGCTGCTGTTGCTGTTGCTGCTGCTGTTGCTGGCGGTGGAGCAGCTGGTAGTCGGATGTTGCCAAATGAAGGGCGGATAACCGGGCCAGGCAGGAGGAATCCACTTCTGCGCCTGTACGGCAGCCGTACCCCGCCAGATAAAGCTGTTGTTGCTGCTGCTGAAGCTGCTGAAGTTGCTGCAGCAGCTGCTGCTGTTGATTGTGTTGTCGCTGCTGCTGCTGCTGCTGCATATGCAAGGATGCGCTATCTACACCACCCCCCGATCCACAAGTCATAAGTCCGAAGACCCCCTCCGGTCCGAGGCAGTAGCTATTGCGATTGAGTGTCATGGGGCCACGGCCCGCGGCGGTTGCCGTTGTAGCAGTTGGTAGTTGCGGCTGTAGCTGTGCGGGGTAGGCTGGGCAGGGGCCGTTAGCTGCTACGGCTCCGTCATGAAGTTCGTGGGGGCTTGCCGAGGCGGAGGCAGCTGCACTGGCGGAAGCCGGTGCGAACCCCCGGTGCGCCATCGAGTCGTGGGGAAGGCAGAGGAGGCTGTTCGTCTTGTTGATGCGGGGGGAAGTGCCTGAGGGGGATGTTTGGGTGCAATGGCATCGCGATGGGGGGGTTATGCGAGTGGTTCAATTCGGGGATTGGACAGCTCCATGGAGTAGTTTGTCAACCCCATGACAAAATGCGGGGAGGGGCTTCAAGGATGAAGGGACAGCAGCAAAGGGTAGGAAGAAAGGTTTCGGAGCGCCATGTAGGCTTCCTGACAGAAGCAGATGGGCACATGTAGCGCTGAGAAGATCACCACCGCATGGGTGAGGTACTTCCGGGTCCAATAGCCATGTGGAGGCATATTGCAACACGTCATGAAATCCACCATTCCCGCAAATTAAATGCAACTCAGGCAATGTAAATAGAACATGAATTGATAGTTGTCAAGCATGGCTTCACACGACTGTAGAGAATTTTTTCATGTGAAACAACAAAAATGGAATCGTTAGTTCTACGCAAAGCGACTGCAGCTTCTAGGGCAGATAACGACCCAGACCGTGACGATCCCAAACCATTCCGAACAGTGCGTCTGTCTAGATACGGCCGCAGTGTGTCCGTGCGATTACTCAATGGCCTTGAGCAGCTGCCTTTCCTATCTTGGCATGACGACGGCTGCCGTACTGGACCCTAAAACCCACCTATGCCCTCGTTAGACCCTTTTACGGTCGACCACCCCAAAGTCCGTTCAGAAAAAGGAATCTGCAATTGCTGCATCAAGTTTTATAAAAAAAAACCGTTAAGGGCGATGTGCCCCTTCAGGAACATCAGACCCCCTTACTAAGCACCACCATGTTATCTGTTGCTTCTATTGAAATAATCTCTTAGCCTTCTGGCGCTTCCCTGTTGTGGTCGCCACACTTAGGGTTTGCCTCTCACTGAGATTGCAGCTGTGTGCATGTGATCTAGGGAGTCTGCTGGATCTGCTGCTGGGTAATGCTATGCAGCGAATGAATGAATGGCAACCAAATGGCAACCAACGCTGCAGCTGCTGGTGGTGTAGGATTAAGCCGAGCGCATTGTTGACACTATGTTGTAAATCAATCTAGCGGCCCCCGCCCAACCCCCAACTGGTCAGTTCTGCTTCTTGTACACTCTTTCCTTGGCAGCAATTTCACGCTCCTTCGTGGTTCGTCTTTCCCAACCCCCCAAACCCCGACAAACGGATTCTCTTTGCCTCACTTTTCGCCCCACCGCTGTGCTGCTGGGAATCCGGCGCGCTGTTTGTACGGCTGCATGTGCCGGAGCGTACTGCCACCTCCCCTAGGGACTCTTGGGCGGGCTGAGGCGCCTGGGAATGGGGCTGAGGTCCATCGGGGCCAGGCCCGGGGGCTGGCTGGTCGCTGTCGCGCTCCGCGTCGGGCTCGAACTCGGGTGAATCACCGTCTGCCAGGACCTCATCCTGTTGATTGGCCTGCATCTGCAACTGCTGCTGGTATTGCTGCTGCACGGTCGCGAGCGCCTGCTCAATGGGCTGGGGCGGCCCGCAGACTCGCTGTGCCATTTCGTAAGCTTGCTTGCGCGCCTCAGCGTCGTTCGCGCAGTCACGTACTGCTCTTGCATACGTGCGGAGAAAGGAGCGGCGCTCCGAGTTCTTGGAGCGAAGCGTGCTGTGCCAGATGTTCTGCATTTGGACGCATGGCGCATAGTCCTGGGGATTCAGTATCGCACGCCTATAATTGTTAAATAGCGTGAGGCCTTATCGTTAAATTAGACATTATGAAAAGCAAACGCTAAGCATTGAAAGGCTTTACGCCCACATTTAGCCGAGTGCCAGAATGCCACAGCCCGCACACTTCTACCCCCGTCCACCTTGACGTCATTGTCGCTGCGTGCAGGTAAGAAGTGAGAGATTGTGGTCCACTTGTTTCCGAGCTCCATGTGCTTCCTGGCTAGGACTGCCTCCTCGGCCGGAGACCATTCGCCTCGGGGTGCGTTCCTTTGGCGCTGTCCGTCGACCGTGCCCACTATACTAGGAGCCCTTTGCCTGTTAATATTACGCGGCAGCGAGGTCATGCCGGAGCCAGTGCGGCGGCGTGAGGAGTCTTCAATCGAGGCACTGTCTTCCTCAACCTCAGCTCCTCCCTCCTCTTCCTCTATGGCTCTCGCATGGCTAGAAGAGCTCCGCTTCTGCTGCTGCAATTTCGTGCTAGCACGCAGCACAGATAAAGCCTTGGACAGTCCCCGCTCGCGTTTATGGCCGCGCCCCGCGCCGGGACTATCTCCGGCTGCGGGAGCCTCCGAGTTATTTTCGTCGTCCATAACCAAGCCTTCTTTGGGGATTTTTTGAAGCTGCAGAAAAGTCGCGACGTTACTGAGAGCCGAAGCGGCAATTAATCATATGAAGAACATTCGTAGTTGACTGAGTAAACGCTCACGATGAAGTTGGCATACGTAAAGTCAGCTGGAAAGTTACAATTCCAGACAGAGAGTCGTGTACGGGGCACACGTACGGTTACATCAAAAAGCGGGTTATCACGCTGGAAGGGCGGAATGTGGTCAATGTATAGCCCTTAACCAGAACCCATGCAACGTGCGAACGTACTTTACATATATTACATTCTACATGTAAAAAGCAATGCGGCTACGGGTGCTCGTCAAACTGCCTATGGACCCTCTGTTACCCAAAACAATAGAAACGGGGTAGGTGCCAAGGGATAAGCTTTGAAGGAGAGGACACAGCAAGGAGGCCGAATATCATTCTACAAGATCGTCCATCTGCAATGCAACAGTTGTCCACATAACTCAGGCCACTGATATGGCGTTCTTACCAAACATCCTTTTGAAAGGTCCTACCCTTTTAGGTAAGGCTCCTTTTGCATTTTGCGGGTTCGTATTCGTTATCAAATCCACAGCGCCTGGCACCACAAAGTGGTTATTATAACAAAGCATTCTTATGAAAACGTCACAGAAGGGGTTTACAAACATAGTAATGAGGATATGGAAGTGGTGATGGAAAGAGCGGGCACCAGGTTTGACGAGCAGAGCTTGCTGACACTGAAACATCTTGCCTAAAGATGTATAATCAGCAAATAGAGCACTTTCCCAAATAATTTAATGCAAATTGTGAGCTGAGAGCTAATGGGATTAGAAATCGCAAGCCGATAGCCGATACCCGAATCGACTGTAGTCGAGTTGTTGAGGCGGTCTGAGGCAGTACCACAATAGACATGAGTACATTCAATTTTGTATTATTAAGAATCACAAGTTCTGGGAATGTTAGTTTTCGCAGTAAGCCAGGACGTACAAAAGGGGGCAAGCGGTAGAAGGCGAAGTATGTTACTTTCGTTCTTGTTTGAGGCTAAAATGCATCTTCCATTAACTTAACCGCTGGTACATGAAGACAATCTGCCATTCCGGTTTCCAACTCCTGCCGGAATGGCCGCGTCTCCTTCCGTAAGCTGCAATGCCTGAAGTGCACCTAACAGCTTTGTAAAAACAATCTTCAGCAGCTTCATGATGGAACGGCTGTATCAAGTGAGGAAAAGGAAAGGAAGCGGGGCTGTTAAAGGTTTACTAGTTTACTTCACACTGGAATGTTAAACTTCTTTATCTTCAACGAATGTAACAACGGCATATTGTTTATTTATGCGGGCTATGCGAAGCTTGAGCCGGGTTAGCTAAGGCGTAGGGCCTTACGGCCGTTTTAAGTGGTACGACTTGAGGCCGGCGATCCGTGTCCTCAGGATCGTCTTTTGCATAAATAGCGCGTGTTGCAGGTTTTCTGTATCTTGTTTTTGTTGTTCAGCACGCGCTGAACAACGAGGCAGGTCCCGCGCCTTCGGCGCGCTTTCTGTTTTTTCCGCTGTGCTTTCAGCTCTTCAGCAAGACCCATCGGGTAGAGTGCCCTGATTGAAGGAGCACCATTATCGCTCCGTCGTCATCGTCTTGAAGATCATGGCAACCGTAGCAGTATCCGTCCAAGCCGTTTTAGCGGTTTTTGTCGTTTTCTGCGGCGTTGCTGGCGCCATGATGCCGGGCCAATATGGTTCCCAGCCCCCTTCCCCATATATGCAAGGTCTGCTGGGTGGCGGCGCTACGCCGCTAGGAGGCGGAATGGCGCCCAGCGCGGTACCGAGAGCGGCAACTATGTCTGGTGCGGCGGTTGCTGGGCCGGACATCGCTGCAATGTTACTCCAGATGCAACAAGACCTGGCCGGGGTCCGCGCGCGCCTAAATAGTCAAGGTGCGACCTCGGGTCCGGAATACGATTTGCGCGCGCTGACGGAGGATTTTGCGTCGCCTCAAGTGCAGCGCTCTCCAGCCGGGTCGCGGTTTCCGTTTCCCGACTATGTTCTGCACAATTTGCCGGGAACCATGACGGTGGATAATCTGGTTTTGCATAATTTTCGGGCAATTCCTGAGTGGCAGGAGTTAGAGCACTCGCAGAGGGGTCATCCTGATCGTGCGGGCTCGTTAGTTTATGAGTTTAGCATTCTGATTACTTTGCTTGGCGTCTTGGAGATGGTGCGGTCCGGTTTGACTATGATTCGCCGCTTTTTCGGATATTCAAATTTACCTCAAGAGTGGGTTGTCGCCCTGACCTGCGCCTCTGATACCTTGCTGTATGATGTGGCTTGGATGCATAACCTTATTTCGGCCCGTATCAATTGTTTGGTGGAATTTAGCCGTAGGGGCCGTGATGGCCTCGTTGCCCTGCACCAGCGTTACTTTGCGCCTTCGGAGCGGCCGCTGGTGGATGCTGTTACCCGTGAGTTTGACGAGGAGTATGCTAAGCAGCGGGCAAAAGTGACTCTTAAGGTCCTGGCAGAAAGGGAGGCCTTTTCATCGATCAGGCCGTAAGAGCACAGCCAATATCTGTAACAGAAATGGCAATAGACTCGTAGCAGGAGCTAATATTTCTTACACCTGGTGACGTAACCCAGTACGGTTACAACCTGATCGTGAACAGTTTGCGGCGCAGGACCCGTCGTCGATCACGTCTGTTGGCGACGTTGAAAAACGCCATTGCCTTTACCCTGGCACCCGGAAGACTCAAACCTATCTGCGAATAAGTCATATTTTGTTGTATGGTCGACATTTTTGGTAATTCACCTTGAGCATACCTGGATTACAGTACCTGTACACCGATTCGGCCGGTCCTTTCTGATTCTTGATTGCCACGGCATGCGCGCACATAATAAGGTGCTAAACTCGCTAGTTCATAAACTGTGAGCTCTCCTGGATTTCCTAACCTCTCACGGTCGCCGCAAGCCACTTATTTACTCGCTTAGTAATGGCATTACAATGACCATATGCGTCGCCTATACACACATAACCTTACGGATTTCAACTTTTTTCACGCCCATTCGAGCCACACACCCCCGTACGTCCCAAAAATATTTCACGCAAAATCACTCAAAAAGGCGCACACATACATCACTCGAAAGAACGAAGAAAAAGTTCTCACACAAAACTCTCACCCCTTTGCTACTCGTTGGGAGGGAAATTATCCCCCTGCACCCCTGAATCCAAATCACCCTGCCAAAGTGACTACCCGCCATTTGCCCAATCTTCCCCACATCGTTCAAACAGGAAACGTAATATAAAGCATCCCTATTTTAAATGACGCAACCGAAGTCCCCCATGGCGACATTTCATTCCATCTCACCTATCATTTGCACTGTATCGCCCTAGTACCACTCCACCCCATACCACCTTGTATCATTGGCACCTTTACTGTTTAGGCGACTAAGATGGCGGAAGCAAGTTCGGAGGCGCACGCAGGGCGAGAGGCAACGGTCCCAGGAAACCCAGATCTGCACCCCGAGGGTGTGGGCCCTGTCCACGACGAGATGCGTGCAGACATAGTGCATTGCTAGTCACAGCGGGGAGCCGGATGTTGTGATGGCTGCTGCGAAGAAGCGCAGGCAGCGGTCGGGCATTGTAGCGTGGTAAACCTAGGGGCCCCGATACCGTCCAGTATGTCAGGAGAACACGCGGGCACCACGACGTGCATGGCGGCGAGGCACGTTTGTTCGCCTCATCTGCGAGCATGCGGTCATACAGCTCTCGAAAGCCTTCCCGCCTGTAGAACCCCGCGGTTGGGCAGAGGCTGGGGCAAAAGGCAAGGCGGGGACTGTGGCACTCGTAAGCGAGCTGCACAGTTGCGTACATGAGGTTAAATGTAGGTGCCGTGGTGACAAATTCATCAACGGGCGTTTGAAGTTTGGAAAAATTATACTTTTTTCGAGGTACGCGTGTGTCACTGTTGGACTCGACCAAGTGTCCGAATCCATGCTGCGTTGACTGTATATTTATCGGATGCGGCACCGCAATTTTGCAGGGTTTTCACGGCAAGTCGACCCTGGGAGGCGACTCGGAAGCGAAAACCCGTCTGCGGGCATCGCCAGGGCCGGAAAGCAATCACACTTTTCCTCAAGATATTTTTGGACACCGCAGCTCCGCTAGCAAGGAACCGAAGCGAAAGTGTGCAGCGCTCATCGCAGGTAATTTCCATAACCTTGCAAAAGAACCGTAATCGTCAATGCACCGAAGAAGCACATCTCTTAATTGTTATGATTTTGCGCAAAATGATAATAAGAGATCCTTGTAAAAGGCCGTTTGCTCACGTCTGGCTGTGCGAATGCAATTGGCCGGGTTTCAGTAACCCCGGGCCGGTTTCTACGCTGGCTTCGAAAATGGTTTGTGGCAGGGCGCCGGTCTCCCCGAAAGCGGCCACCTCTCACACTTGGGCCGCGCTTTGACGATTTAGCAAACTTCACCACCAAGTTCACTTGGTGGTGAACTCAAATTCACCACCAAGTCAAGACCCTCGCGCCGTGTGTCTTGCGCTGACTTGGCCACCTGGGCGCTGAGGACCTCTTGTCTCTTCAACTCTCAGCAAAGATGAACGTTAGGAATGTAACTTCTCAAACCTGAAAACCACGTCGTTATGGAAGAAGGCAACGTTCCGACGGGTCTATATATTCAGCTTCAGGCGAAGGCCGAGCTCTTTGACCTGTCCGGCTTGGCCGGTTCGGGAATGAACAAGGAGGCTTAGTGGAAAGCATGGTCTGGCAGCGTCCGTCGATTGCGGAACCCGCCTCATGGCTCTCAACTCAACCCACGGCACTCAACTGTGCCTGCTCCCTCTCCTTGCTTCCTATGGTTCCCGGTCAAGTTGTGCACGGTGGACACGGTCTTTAACAACGAGGGCGCTGTCGTGTATAAACTGAACCCCTTCCATCAGAGCGCCCTTTTGGCCCCTACGACTACCTCGCGGAGGCCTCGCGTGAGATGAGCAGAACCTCCGCAAAAATGGAAAGGTCGAGAAGGCTGATATGCGCAAGGTGCTGCTGCAGCGGTTCGCGACACACCAAGGTGTCGACACACGGCGCCCAAGTGCCATCCCGCGCCTCTTCCCTACAGCGCCCCGACCACAACACACACCCTCCCCCTCTCACACCCCCTTGTGGAGGCGGCGGCTGCTGCCTACCTCGCAAGCAAAGACAAGCATAGCAAGTTATAGGACCTTAGGATGTCGTACCATGCGCACAGGAACGAGTCCTTCACCGTGCGGGGGAACTCACTTCACCGCTCCGTACTCCCGCGTGCTGTACGACAACAGCCTCCACGACCGTACAGAGACTTAACCGAGGACACGTGACCAGTCCGCTTGATTTCCACCAGTTAATTTTCTCGATGGAATAGTTAAAAGCTCCCAACCCCCCCAAAGATCCGCCACCAGGTGGTGATCCGCCCCATCCGCTCCTAAGCCTGCTAGCATCCCCCCCCAGTTTAACGATCCCACATTTCTCGTACTGACAAATCACAAGCGATGTAACAAGATGGCAACAGGTTGACCAACCCTGGACCCACTATGCCACAACCCAGGCATGATTGCATGCATGTAGGTGTGGTATGCATGTACGTAAGTATGTACGCATGGCCCCACTGCTCCATCATCAGCCACGAGCCCGGGCTCCTCCTGTGCCACCTAGCCCTCCGCCGCCTCCGGCTTCACCCTTCATCCCTCCGGCTCGATCATAACGTCGCTCTCACGCGTCCTCCGGCACGTAGCGGCCCTTGCGAGCGCCCGTCAGCAAGCGCTGCAAGTACGGACAAGTACGGACAAGTACGGACAGGCACCAGGAGATTTGGGGAAAGGCCTCGAATGTGGTGTGTAGTGGTGAAAAGTGGGGGAGGCCGTATGTATGTATGTATGTGTGTTCCGGGGCGAAGGAAAACAACTTGATACAGCAGTTTCAGTTAAGATGAAATAGCTGTTAACAGCTGCAGACGTGGTGGTGGTGGCGGAACGACCTCACTCACTCACTGGGGATGCGGCCAGACCTATTTCCGGAGGGGGGCTAGGGCTAGGGTTCTTAGGGCAATTGTACGGAAACGTGGCGAAGGTGTTGGCCAGACTGTCCTGGGGCTCCTGGGGTACGTAGACCGGCCCCCGGATGGCCCACGGGTCGATCCGCGATCTCTTTTAACTTAACTAGCAGCCATTCAGGCCATTATGTACAGAGCACGGAGAAGGTGTTGGTGTTTGCCACTACACCGCGCTGCGTCTTTTCAGTTGTAACGTGCGGAGGACTCTCCCACCGCCCTCCCCCTCTCCCACCGCCCTCCCCCTCTCCCACCGCCCTCCCCCTCTCCCACCGCCCTCCCCCTCTCCCACCGCCCTCCCCCTCTCACCGCCGCTATTTGCTGAAGCGCCTTGGATTGGGTCAGGTAGCGGATGTAGGTGGCGGACAGGGAGCCCGTCAGGGGGTTGACGGAGGACTGCGGTACGGCACGTATGCGGGGCACCAGGTAGGCCGCCACGTCAGCAGCGGGCTCGGCTGCAAGTGAAGTGGGACGAGGGGGGTGTAGGGGGGCATACAGAGAACAGACAGATGGACAGACATACAGGCAAACAAAGGGAATAATGGGGAGGGGGAGCTGCAGCAGCAGCAGCAACATTCCGTAATCAGCAGGCGATACGAGACGTGCCGTACCGTCCTGCAGTGTGCAGACAAAAATACACCTCTGCGCAGGTCTTCCCCCCTCCCCTCCCCCTGTTCCTGGTCCTCATCCTCCTCCTGCTGGTCGTGGGAACCAGAGACCCTCCAAGAGACGCACACGGCTGAAACACACACCTACACACACACCTCGCGAACCCCCCTCGTACCCACCCCCCATCCCCCCACTCACCTAGGCAGTTGATAAAGAACTTGGCGGTGGGTGTGTTGGCACCTGTCATCAGGAGCTCCGTGGTCACCATACCCGGGGACAGGTTGTGTACGGCCACGTGGCGAATACCCTAACAAGGAAAAACACACACGGGAGCGTGTCCTTGTGTTTTGAGGGGAGGGGGCCACAGGGGGCGACGCGGGGGCCGGAGCAGGAGGGGGCGGGCGGAGGAGGTCAAGAAGCCCCTCGGAGACTTCCTCCCAACCTAGGGACCCTAGCTCGGCTCCCTCCACACTCCCCGTTTACCCACATTGCTGTACACCCCCCTTCACTCACACCTCCCCCCTTCACTCACAAGTATCCCCAGTTCGGCGCCGAGGGAGCGACCCAGCTGGGCCAAACTGCGTTTGGTGGCGCCGTACGCCGCGAACCGCGGAGTGGCGTTGCCGTCGGCGCCCGCACCGTCCATGTTGAAGATGTGACCGTGGCTGTTCTGACCCTTCATCACACGAATAGCCTTCATGGACGGGGTGCGGGAGGGAGGGAGGGAGACGCAAAGCGGCGGCGGCGGTGGTCAGGTCACGTTAGGGCGCTGCTGTTGTGTACTAGATGACTCGCCCCAGAAGTCCCTCCTGCCTCGTTGTTGCTGTTGTTGCTGTTGTTGTTGTTGTTGGGGTCGGCGTCCTGGTTTGTGTCCATGTACCCCTCTCTCCCCCTTCGGGTGAACCACCCATCCGGTAAGCAGCGCCCTCAACCCGCCGCCACATAGGAACCCCCCAAGATAAGATAACGCAGCTGCCCACCTCCCGTAACCAATACCCCTCCCACACGAACACGCACACACGGGCCCCCGTGCAAAACCCTATCCCCTATCCCCTCCCCTCCCCTCCCCTCCCCACGCACCCACCTCCTTGCAACACAGCATCACACCCAGCACATTGGTCCCCACAATCTGCTGCAGCTCCTCGTCCGTACTATCCGCCATGGGGCCGTACCGGTAGCCGTTGGTGCCTGCGTTGTTAATCCACAGGTCCACTCGGCCCCCCAGCTGCTGGAACGCGTAGTCCGCCAGCACACGGGCCTGGCCGGGGCGGGCCACATCCACAGCCACACCCTGGCGGCGGGGGGGGGGTGGGGAAAGTGAGGGGAAAGTGAGGAAAGGGTGAGTGGTACGTGGGCATCTTAAAGTCCCAAAAGCCGGTCACAGCATGTGATCTGTCCGTCTGTCTTTCCGTCTGTCTGCCTATTTGAAATCGGCCACATACAGACTGAGAAGGGTCCCGCGTGCACGTCACCCACGTGCACATACACACCTGCCCTCCCTCACTTCCCGCTCCTGCCCCCCCTACCTATCCCCCCATACAACCAGTGCGTGTGCTCCCTGATGGTATCGTACCTTGACCTTGTCAATGCCGTACTTGGCGCCCAGCTCAGCCACAGCCGCATCCACGCGCTCCTCTGCACGAATGCACTTGCCGCAGTAGCAGGTGCAGGTGCAGTGGCATAATGAGGCCAAAAAAAAGATGCGAGGACGAGCACGAGTAGGCGGCGAAAGAGAGCGCTCCCAGCGGAAAGAGTGGGGAGGGGGTAGCGACGGGGGGTGGCCGGACCAAGCAAAGAGGGGGGGAAAGAGCCCGGAGAGCAAAAGGCCGGCGAAACCCTGTCGATCCCCTCCCCAGCCACCTCACCCCCCCCCCCACACACACACACATACACATACAAACCTGATCGCGAGCAGACGACCACGCGGTCCCCCGCCCGCAGGAACTCCTCAGCGAGGGCCCGCCCAATACCTGGTACGGCACCCAGGGGTGTCCGGGGCCGAGGCCGGACGGGGTGTGGCGGGGCCCGCACAGCCGGGGATGGGTGGAGGGGTCGGCAACGGGCGGGCGGGGGGGGGGCACAGGGGACATCAAACAGAGTTCAGTAACGGGAGGACGGCGGCAGCTGCTTTCAATCGCTCAGCACAGAGACATAACCAAGGGGGCGGGAGAAGGGGACGGGCCAATGTAAGCCAAAGACCCCCACGGGGCCCAGGCTGGCTGTGGAGGGGAACGAAAACGAAAACCCCTCAGTACGACCCTTCCCCCTGGGGCAGCGGGAAATAGAGCCGAAATCCGCCTGTGACCTGCGGCGTGTGACTTTATATGGAAATAACATCCCACACGACATGACGTGCCTTTAGTTGACCCGGTAATGACGACATTGTACGGCGGCTGGGGCGCCGTTGCCTTGGATCCGGACGCGCCGTTCGTCGAGAAGAGAGCGCGAGTCATCAGCGAAAGGGATCCTCGTTGTAGCCTGTTCAAAAGGGGCCCGCGCTGCTTGTGCCTCCGGGTCCGATCTGCATGGTTGATAAAGCTGACATTGGTTGAGGGAGCGCTGCTGCTGGCTGCCCCTCCTCGGCAAGTGGCTTGCGGCATGATGCAGCGCACGGCTGGAGATGCGCTGCTAGGGGCTAAGCTGCATCGCTTTCCTGATGGCGAGGCAGTAACTATCGTCTTGGAAATCATGGTGTTCATTGTCACACAGCCGAAGCTGGTAGGTCGCGTGCGGTTTTGTAGCAAAGGAAAGCACTAGCAGCAGGTGTCCTCTGTGCCAAGACCACTGATCACAAAACGAGCGCTCCCGAATAGATGATATCACGGCAATGATATAATTGCTGTTGACGAACTTATACGATCACGTCACCATGGGTCACTTGCGCAACACCGTACAATCCTTCCAAAAAACTGTTTTGCTAAGCATTTTCCCCCAAATTTCCTCGTCATTATTTGTCATGGTAATAGTCTTGCTGTTGTAGATTCTTGCAAGCAAAGTACACAGTTAGCAGTGCCTTGATTAACCGTTCTTGGTCAGGGATTCTGACCTTCATTAATTCCTTCCTAAAACAGCTTTACCAATTATCTTTAAACAGTAGTGTTTCGGTTGAGGTAGGGCCGCTACCCGGGCAGGCAGATCGTGTGACGGAACACAAACCGCAAGGACGACAGCGTCGAGCTTAACTTGGCAATGGCGGCTGCTGTAATGGAGCGCGTGGGAACAGCATTACAGGCTGGCGACTTCTCGGCTGTGGTTGGCTTGCTCGATGAGGCCGAACTATGCTCGCCCTCAGCCTCTGCACTGGAAGAAGGCTGGCCCGCGGCTTTGCATTTACTAGGCCATATATACAATGGGAGCTTGCCTGACGCACGGATGTTGTACAAACGGCTACCCGAGGCTGTCAAGGCTGAGCCCCAGGTACGGCGGCGGTCACGATATTGTAGACTAAGAACGAAGCAAGCTGCACGCAACGGGCCCTATGGACAGAAGTCTCGACGCATAACCAATCCAAATTCCCGCCCACCCTGTATACACCCCTTTCCAACTCCACCCCAAACCCCACAACCTAGGCCTTCCTACCCCTCCGGAAAACCCCCACCCCGCGCCCATCCCCCCATCCCCCTGTCCCCAGGTCAAGGCTGCCTGGCAGCTCCTCCAATACGCCTGGCAGGGCAGCGGCAAGGGCGTGTGGCGGGCCCTCCGCGGCCACCCCTGGGCCGGCCACTGCAGGGTCCTCGTGGAGGCGCTGGCGGAGCGGTTGCGGGCTCGGCAGCTGGATCTGGTGGCGGCGGCCTACTCTCACATCACCCCTGACCGGCTGGCTGAGCTGTGCGGGTGCAGCGCGGAGGACGCGGTGGCCGCGGCGCTGGGTCGCGGCTGGCGGAGGGCCGGTGACGGCAGCGGTGCACTGGAGGTTGTGCCACCGGCCCTGGCTCGCGGTGAGCTGGACAGCCTGGCTTCCCTGGAGCAGCTGTCCGAGTACATGATGCAGTTGGAGTGAGTGTGTGTGAGGGGGAGGGGGAGAGGGGAAGGAGGAAGAGGAAGCTGCTGGGAGGGAGTGGTGGCGAGGAAGGCGCAGGTGGATGGGGGTGACAGGAACGTGGGCTGACTCGGAGCTTTGATCACCCGATCGTTTCATCGATGTGGATCGAGTGAACGGCTGTGAATGAATGATTGGATGTGCAGCTGGCGGACAGGCATATGCGGGCAGCGGTACATTGAAATGATGTGTTATTGTTTGTGTGTGTGAGAGAGAGCGAGGGGGAAGGCCGCCCTCACTGATGTGGGGCGGTCTGGGGGTGCCTGCGTTTCCGTCCACTCCGAAGCCGTTGCGTGGAAGGGCTCTGGTTGGCGGGTGTCGGCCACCTGCATGGGGGGGGGATGCGGGAGGCGGACGCGGCGCCGGGCAAGGAGGTTTCGTCTGGGTTCGTCTTGTTGTTGTTGTATGGAGCAGCGGCAGCGGGCCGCAGCTGAGTGGTGACTGTGGGGGGCACTCTTGGTGTCTCATCCGGACGGGTTTGTGTTGTGGGGGTTGCGGAGCTGCTGGCCATCGTTGTCGTTGTTGCTGCGACTGCTGGTGCGGGTGCTGCTGCTGGTGCGGGTGCTGTTGGAACGTGGTTTGGTCGTGATGATGGTGATGTGGGTGATGCGGATTGATGGGACCGGGGCTGCAAGGGGGAGGCTCAACGCGTTGAACACGGTTCACTTATAAGCCTCATGGGGCTTATGGACGATGCCGTACCCCCGTGGTCGCCTGGAGGGGCCCGCTGTGGTCCCCGTGTGCCGAGCTTCCTCCCCAAGCCCGTGGTGCCCGCCAACTCTCGGACCGGCAGCTACCCGTACAGTACGGGGGAGTTGTGTGGGACGGAAACTGTTCTATTCCGTTCTGTCTTGTAGTAAAGACGATGAGTGAGGGCAGTTTGAAAGGCAGTCAGCTGTTTGGTGCGTCTCTACGGCTGATGACGATGATGATGTGATGTTGATGGTGATGTCACCTCATTTTGGTAAACATTTTGGTGTTCACATCGTATTTTCACCCGATGGTGGTGGCGGCAGCACCTCAGTAGCCCCAGCTCCCAGTCGCCCCCAGCGTCCAGCTCCCCAACCTCCAGTTCTCGGCTCCACAAGGGACGACCCAACAGCCGCCCGGGAAGCGCGTGGCCTTGCCGTGTGGAAAGCACAGCCGCCGCCAGAGCTGGGATGTATCAAAACATGAGTCACAAAGACATTTTTTAAGTGTAGGAAGGTCTCAAAACGTGGTGCGGTTCACCAAATCCACACCGTAACCGCACTAAGAGTGCACCGCACCCAGGACACGTAAGCAGACTTCAGAAAAGCTGTCATAACCCCAACCAACCACCGGCAAGCGGGAGGTGGGGTGATTAGAACACTACGAGAACCGCTGCTGGGTCCCTGCCGTACATACATCCTAAACAGATTTGCGCCTCCCGCAATGGACCTGGGGGCGGCTGCTGGACAGCCTCAGGCGGCCTCAGCCTGGACAGCCCCCTAGGAGCACCTCTCTCCGCCATAACTGACCTTACTGAAGTTAGTTACCAGTTACCTGCTAAAAACAATTACGAGTAAAACTGACTACCCTAACCCCCACAAAACCCAACAGGTCCTCACACGTTTACACGTATATATAATGTGTGAAACAGGGGGGCATATCTTCACCCGTGGCAGCTACCCTGCGAAACCCTGCCTTCCCCAGTATTTCGGGGCACCCTCATCCAGTCACCCTAGTCAAATTCTCAGTGGATCGCTCAGGTTCCGCACCCACCACCAGCATCCAACGGAATCTGCCGGGTCGACAGCGGCCCAACTCCATTCATGGTCGGCTCGCTGGTTAACTTTATCCCAGGTCACCACCGTCTATCAACTAGGGGCGCAATATCTTCCACCATCGGAAGGATTTTAGACCCCTAACGGGTAATGATCCCGGGATCTCCCGGGGGCAATGGTCGCGCGTTACCAGTACTGCCAAACCCTAAGTATTATATATAATACACGTACGTATTCGCACATCCTTCCCCTCGCATGTCGGTGCTGCAGTAGCTCGCCCGGATGAATCCCCGTTGCGACTGGAAGCCTGCACCTCCCTGTGCTCCCCTCCCTCCCTGCAGGCATCTCCATTACTGCTCCTGCGAAATACACGGGTCGTAGGATACATAGGGCCCATCGCCCCCTTTCATCATCAATGAAGTCAGCACCACGTCACCGTCACCCTCAACCACCCTCCCGCAGGCTCTCAACAGCATCCCCTCCCCCGTGCCCAACTAGGCGGCCCCCCATGGCGGCGCGGCGCCGGCGGGGTTGCTGCCGCTGCTGCCGCCGCTGCTGCTGCTCCCTTTCCGACATTATCACATTATGTACGCAGTCCGCCCCTTCTCCCTGTGTAGCTGACAAGGCATCTTCTCCCGGACACGACCCAGGTGACCCAAGTCCACATCCGCCACCGCAATGCCAGTGACCCGGGGGTCACTCAGCCTCGCCACCACGGTCCCCCACGGGTCCACGACCAGCGCGTGGCCGTAGCTCTCCCTCCGGGCGTTGTGTCGGCCCGCCTGAGCGGCTGCCACCACGTACGACTGGCACTCGATGGCTCGGGCCCGCAGCAGCACCTCCCAGTGGGCCGCTCCGGTCACCACCGTGAAGGCGGAGGGCACCGCCAGGATCTGCGGCCGCGGTCCGAGGGGGGGGGGACGGGCGGGGTCAGCTGGGTCGCCATGGAAAGGGGATATGGACCGCAACTGTTGCAAACACGGAAGGAGCGCGAAGAATGATCACAACAACAACAGGAGGAGGCGTGAAGAGAGGCGTGCCTCAGTGCATGCAAACGTTACGGAGTCCTAACAAATAGGTATGGGAAGCAAACGCAAACACACACACACACACACACGCACACACACGCACACACCTCTCCCCTTCCCCGGGTCCTTCCCCCCCTCCCCCGCACCTGCGCGCCCCGCTCCCAGGTCAGATGTGCGAACAGCTCCGGGAAGCGCAGGTCGTAGCAGGTAGTCAGTCCCAGCCTGCCCGCGGGGGTGTCCACAACCACTGCCTGAAAGGGCGGAGGGAAGAGGAAGAGGGAGGGAGAGAAAAGAGCGGCAGGGCCTATGGGCAACCGGGGGGGGCAAAGGCGCTGTATCTAGACGGGCGCCATACACCCTTGTAGCACCACCAGCAGCACCAGCAGCACCTTCTCCCGCATTTGCCCTCCTCTCCCCTCCTCCCCTCTCACCTCGCTCCCGGGCGCGGTACTCCGACTCTCCATCAGCACCGGGCCGTTGGGTACGTCCACATCGAACAAGTGGATCTGAGGGCCCCACCCCCACCGCCCACCCGCATACCCCGTCCCGCGGAGGGTGGTGGTGGTGGTGGGAGTGGTGGTGGTAGTGGCGGGGGGTAGGATTTGTTGTGGGTGGGGAGCGGCGGGGTGCAGCGTAATGAACATGTACGGTGGAGGTCCTGAGCAATAAACTGCATGTGCCCCAGGACTGGGACTGGGACTGGGACTGGGACTGGGACTGGGACTGGGACTGGGACTGGGACTGGGACTGGGACGAGCACTTGGCCTGACCGGCTCCTAGGTAGGTAGGCACCTCCAGGTAGGGAGGGGTAGGGGGAAGCAGAATGGGGCCCGGTGCGGGCCGTATAGGCCACATACACAGCGCCACTGCCTAGCTTTCCTTCCGTTTCTCTCCTCCCTCCCCTTTCCAAGCGCTCCCCACCCAACCCCACCCAACCCCACCCAACCCAACCCTCAACACCCCCCTCCAGTTCCCCGGCAGTACGAACTACCTTGCGGTACCGAGCCGCCAGGTCGCCGTTGGAGTCAACCACAACGTGAGTATTGTAACTGTCACGTAACGGCAACCAAACAACCAACCGGTCAACGGAATTAGTCGTCGCAACAATCTAGACGAACTGAATCAAGCATGGCACCGCAGTACGATTGAGGCGGCGGGGAAGGGGGATGGTGACAGAAAAGAGGGGAAAGAGGGGGACAGGCAGCACTGCAAGAGCCGCACACACACACACACACACACACACACACACACACGGAAGTCACATAACAGGTGACATGAGGAGGGGGGCAGGTGGGGCCGGGCAGGCGAGTATACCCCCCCAGGTAGGGCCCCCCACCTACCCCCCTCTACCGCACCTCGCAGGAGCCGTACACCCCCCCGCCCCACCTACATATGTCGCGGGTCGGGCCCCTCCTCCTGAAAACCCCCTAGGGACATCCACAACCCCAGGGACCTGCACGGGGCGTGTGTGTATGTGGGGGGGGCCGCCGGGGCGGGGCGGGGGAAGAGGAGGACGGGGGGAGGACGGGGGAAGGAGTGTGTGTGGGGGGGGGGGCTAGCAAGGAGACTGTGGAGGGAGTACGGGAAAGAGCGAAAAGGGGATAGAGGCGCCGTAGCCGTACTAACAGTACGAAGTGATGTCTGATGCGTCGCAGCGGCGGATAGACCCACTGAGACCTTAATAACCTTTATCATCCTGATTATTACCCCATCTGAGAACCTCTCCCTCCGGCAGCAGATTTCACTACAGACAGACACTGGTGCTACCAGACAGGCGGTGTTTGGCTTTTGGAAACACGAACACCCCCTACGGGCCCAGCCTGACCCACACACGCTGTACAGCCCTACCCCCTAGCCCCCCCCCCCTACCAGCCACCCACCTGGCAAGCTCCCGGTACGCAGTCATCAGAGGACCAGTCAGTGGTTGAGCTGCCGCCACCGACTGGTCAGGTTGGGGGGTTACGTGGCGGTGGTGGAGGGGGGGAATGGGGGGAAGGGTTCGGGGGAGGTTGTGTGCGGTAAGAGGAGGAGGAGGGGGAGGAGGGGGAGGAGGGGAGGAGTAACGGTGGATGGAGTGGTGGACAACAGTATGGTAACGGTTAAGTAACGGTTAAGTAACGGTAACCTGACACGGCTGTCAGCTCACCTCCCCCTGGTTCTCCCCGATGAAGGAGAAGCACTCGGGAAGGAACAGCATGCGGCAGCCCGCCTCCACCGCCTCCTGGGTTGCGAATGAGTGAGTGAGGGCTGCGAAAGATTTACTTAACACACAAACATACATACATACATACATACATACATACAGCACATGTCAGGAGTGAGATCAGTGTAGACCCCTCCTGACCTGACCCGACCTGAGCACCCGCGTCTCCGTAATTGGGCACCTGATCCCTATGAGCCCCAACTCTCAAGGTAAGTAGGTCAGCTTCACTCACTCCCTCTCCTCCCTCTTCTCCCTTTCCCTCCCTCTTCTCCCTTTCCCTCCCTCTCCTCCCTCTCCTCCCTCTTCTCCCTCTCCTCCCTCTCCTCCCTCTCCTCCCTCTCCTCCTTCTCCTCCCTCTCCTCCCTCTCCTCCTTCTCCTCCCTCTCCTCCCTCTCCTCCCTCTCCTCCCTCTCCTCCCTCTCCTCCCTCTCCTCCCTCCCCTCCCTCCCCTCCCTCTCCTCCCTCTCACCCCACCTTCGCCAATCGTGCACATGTGTTCAGGTTGGCGGCCTGGTCCCCGCCGGCGGTCATCTGGGCCACAGCGATCCGCACCGGGGGCCCGGGACAGGGGGCCGCGGAGGGGGCCGCGGAGGGGGCACCCACCGACTCGGAACCGCTCGCCTGCGGGACGGAGGAGGGAGACAAGTCTGGAACCTGAGACGTGGAGGAAAGGGGAGGGAACGGGCATCTTAGGAAACACGTTATGGGGGACACGTCGTGCAGGGACATATGAATACATGTAATGTCCGCAGTGGGTTGTTGGCTACGCCAGCACCTGGGTCTGCATGGCGGCACTGGGAGGATTGGGAGGATGTCGTGCAGGGCCGGAGGTGGAAGTGTTGCGGCGGGCTCCGCAGGTTAGGGCTGGGTGTACGAGGATGGTATGGGTGGCTGGGAGGGTGTTAGGTGCTGCGGCTGCTAGACGTTGCGGTGGTTGTGCACATGTGCAGATGGAGGGCCTGGTGGTGGAGACGGTGATCGGGACCAGGGCTGGATTATGTGTCAGACCATGAATATGATTGGCCGCAGACCTCAAGGTCCCGACAGAAGTCTTTGCTGCCAGGAGCGCACGCATATGTAAGCGATGGCAACCACCCGTGGGCTTCACGATTTCCCTATTGTGCAAAGTTAAGCTTAATCTTGAGAAATCGAGTAGCAAATTCTTGTCATGAATAAAGAATGCAAGAAAGTCGCCTAAGCTATTGTAGGGAATTCGGGAATCGGGATGTCTGAAAATATTTGTACGGCGGAGTCCGCTAACTGTAAACTTGGCAGAAGGTCAGTTACAGAAAGATTTGCATGGTGCAAGCCAAGCCATTGACATAGCTCATCGCCGATTATCGCTGAGCGCTTCCGCGAAATCCAAGTGTGATGTCGTTGTTCACTTTGCTTGGGACCCGACTCTCTCCGCGATCATGGCTAGCATTAGCGAACTCAGGATATATGGGACGCGTGAGCGAAGTGGTGAATCAATATAGCGAGGGACCTGCTCCGCTGTTAAAGGATGATGCAGTCTCGACGTCGGCTACCTCGCAGCCAGCAAGCAGCAGTCTTGCGCACCGAGGCCAGCTGACGGCATGCCACTTGGAAGGAGGCCGCGCCCAGAGGCAGGCGCTGGAGCCAAGCATTTGCTTTTGGGACTCGCGCGTCGTCTCGTTTAGCGTGCCACAAGTGTTATCCAGCACGCAGCGATCCCACAACCAGCTGCCACTATCTGCACAACATCTTATCCCTTGGCCACTGCCACTGCCAGCACCGGTGCAAGCCCCCGAGGCCACTGCGATACAGGAGGCGCAGCGGTTTCCAGGTGCGAGGCATCGGGATGCTGGGACTTGCCTGTAGGGCAGCCAGGAGCTTGACGATGCGTTCTCATTTTGATATTGGGTTTGTTGGACGTGTGCATGACGGGATGCCACGTGCGGTTTTCTCGCCGCGGTTGCAGCTTCCACTCCTGCCCTCCAGGACAGTCGCACCGCGGGGCCCCTAGCCCCTGAACTGCACTGCCTTTACCCCGCGCTCTCCCCTCCCATTTTCCCTCCCACCACGTGTCTTCCTTATCTATCTGCCTCCTCTTCCCCAACGAACATACCGCACCTCAGAAGCTACAGTGCCGCAGCACCTGCCCACCGGGGACCTGGAGGAGGGCTCCTGCAACGTAACCCCGCCCTCACCCCTACCTGCACTCCCTCACCAACCGGACGGGGGGAGTGCTCCGTTGCAATGCAGTCGGGGCAACACGTACCAGCCCAGCAGGAGGAAGCGGGTGAACAAGCACGGCCTGGAGAAGAGGTGAGGTGGCCGCCCGGGGCGCGGACGGGCTGGAGGAGCCCCTAGTGGCAGGGGGCCGCGGCGTTGAGAGGGCTACCGGGCTGGCAGCGCACGACCACCTTCGTTGTGACCCCCGTCCTGTGGTTCTGTCCGGGTTCACTCTCGTGTCTCTCCCACCCTGTTGGGTCTCCTGGCTCCCGGTGCCCGTCCTGACCTCCTGGAGCTGCCGTCCTGAGACACGCGGCGAGGCTAGGCGGATCCACACAGATGCCCCCCGGGGGGGAAAGGGCCCTCCGAGCTGTGTTCTATCATCGCTTGCCAGATGTTATTCAGGCGGGAAGGAAGAGGGAAATGTGCAGCTTCTCAACTGCTGGAGAGGAACACTATCCAGCCCAGCCCAACCCAATCCGACTCTGGACCTGACTCGTCGGTCGGAATACACCTGCACCGCACCTAATTGACGCGCAGGCTGAGCACACCCCAGGGTCGGGATGTGTTGCTGAGGCGGCTGCGCAAAGGCCGCTGGCGGATCACTGTGGACTCGTTCCGATGACCACGTGAAGACAAAGAACTGCTCTCGTCACACAAAGTGCGGGAGATTACTGGAGGATATTGCTGCTGCTACTGCGCCCGCTGGTGCTGCTGGGGGGGCGTCGTAGAGCCGCCGCTCTGCTGCGTGGGTTGTTGCGGATTATTAGAGCCCCCGTGTGGGTCCGGAGACTTGTCAGTCCTAATGAGCAATTTGTACGGCTGTTGCGTGTCTGTACGGTGACTTGTTCGCACAGCTGCGTTGACGGTTTACGTCTAGGTGCATTGATTGTGGTGTGTATGGCGGTGCTGCCTCAGCCAGTACTTGGAAACTTTGCATTTATCAAAACTGCGAAGATGAGATGAGGTGCACGGGGGTGCATCCTGGCTACAGCTGTAGAAGTGGAAACGGACATTTTGGGTCTAGTCCGGACATGTGGTAGTCGATATGGGACAGATGGAAATGGGCTGCGGTTGTCTGCGGGCATCCACCGCAGGAGACGCTTCCGGACTGCACTGCCTGTACAACACTGACGATCACGAGCTCTAACCACTGGTTTCGCTGAACGATCTGCGCTTGTCTTGATTCGTCCTTATACTCGTCATCATCATCATCATCATCGACTCCTTTCATGGAGCTAAGACATAGAAAAAGCCCACAGCATGGGTGTGCGGACCCCTGAGAACGCTCCACCGCTTGGGGACAGAATGACTTCCGAATGGAGGTCCCTGGGGCAGGGGGGTGCACTCTGGTCATTGCAGTACAGCACCGCACCGCGGCCCCCGCATTGCCCCCTGAGGTCCTTCCTCCCACGGTGGTCATGTGGAATGCGGAATGCGCATCCCGGTCCTTATTCACGGTGCACCACTGCTGTTGTTGGCTGATGCGGCCGCTGATGCTCTGCGCCACGCCTTCTGCGCATCCAGCTCCAGCATGAGGCTCAGTCTGTCCATGGCGGGGCCCCCCTCCGGTCCCTCCTGAAGGGCCCCGTGCAGCAGCAACAAGTGGGTGGCCACCTGGCGACCCACATCCACTCCCTGAAGAAACACATACATACATATACACATACACACATACACAACGCCATCCCGTATGAGGAGGGGTGAGTAGGACAGAAGGGAATAGCACGCATGTGTGTGTTTATGTTGGCAGACGACTAGTCCAGGAGGAGCTCTTGTCTGTAGTCGTGGTAACGGTTGGTGACGTCTACCTGCTTGCTAAGTACACCAGGTTAGGGTTTTAGGGTTTACCTAGGACACCGTATCGGAACATGTAACCCAGCAGGGGTGAACGAACATGGCAAAGGCCATTGCACGGAAATACAGCAGCTACCCGCCCCAAGCGCTTCCCTCACCTACAACCACAGCTACAGCTGTAACCGCATGCGGAGGCCGATCTGGTTCCCGTCATTGCGTCGCGCACCATGAGCGGACATGGTTTGTGTTATACCCGGTTAGAGCCCTCCCCCCCCTTCACCCCTTCCTTCCCCTCACTTGTTCGGGTCGCTGCTCCCGCAGCGCCACCAACAGCCGGGCCACCTCGGGCAACTTCTGGGACAAATGCACCTGAGCCTTGAGGGGGCCCAGGGGTGTGTGTGTAGGCCCCGAGGCGCCCCCGGGGTCATGGGGAAAGGGAGAGGGCAGAGTATGGAGTGATACGCCGGGGGAATGAATCATTGGGTTCTCTTCGGACGGGAAGCTTAAGGACGCGCATTCGAACGAGGTGATGCGGGCTGGCGAGACCTCACCAGCTGAGGTGGGGAAAAGGACTCGGAGGGGTGGAGCCGTGGTCTGGTGCCGTACCTGCAGCAGCTGGCACATGTGCTGGTAGTGGTTCCTCCGGAGCACCCTCAGCTCCGGAACCACGGTGTGCAGTAGGTCCCTGGCGGGCAGCAGGGGGCTGCCCAGGGGGCCCCGGAAGTTGGTGGGCGCCCGCATCAGAGCCTCGGATAGGGCCCACATGCTGCGGGAGTGGTACAAACTGATGGCTGTGGGAAGGAGGGAAGGCGGAGGGCAGGAAAGGGCGGCAGGACACGGGTGGACACGGGCGGACAGGCGGGTGTAGCGCAATGGGCCCGCAGGGGCCGGAGTGGTGGCGGTGAGAGGGGGGTCGGGCGCCGTGTACAGTGTATGCATGTACGTATACACATGTGTATGTATGTATGTATGTATCATCCTGTGTGCACGTTCGTGGTACTAGGGGGACGGACGACCTGGCTTTGTACGGAGAGGTCCCGGAGCTCTCTCCCTACCCCCTCACCCCTTGGTGGCCCCAGGTCCCCGTGTTCGGAGCCCACCTCGGGTGCCGTAGCTGGTCAGGAAGGGCCTCATCTGCTGCAGCTCGCTGAAGGCCACCTGGGCGCCGGCAAGCACACACGTCTGGGACCCCGCCTCGCCCTGGGCCTGCTGGGGCCTACCGCCCGCACTGCTATCAGCAGCTGCGGCCCCTGCGTCCAGCTGTACGTTCACAGGGGCTGCGGGGGAGGAGGAGGACTCAGAGGTGGCCCCGGGGGGCTGTGAGGGGCCCTCCTCCTTCTCCCCCCCCTCCAGCTGCTGAGGGTCCTGGCCGCAGATCAGCGCCTCAATGCGGACCAGCCTCTGCCGGGTGGCGGTGGTGTGTGTGAAAGAGGTGTTTACAAGGCCGTTGGTGAGGGGAGATGAGCCGGTGTAGTTAGGGAGGGACCCCTTCAGCCCACCGTGTGCGTCCTCAACCCCTTTTAAGTGGAGCAGTGATACCTGGTGAATTGCGAGGTGCTGTTGCCAGTGGGGCCGCAGATCCGGAAGCAGCGTGTAGAGACCCTCCAGACTGCGACCAAGTGCGGCCGCTGATACTGGATCCACACAGCCAGCGGCCTGGGGCAGTGCAAAGGAAGGATGGCGGAAATCGGCAGTACAGCGAGGGCTCCTGAGGTGCTTCCGTGTCTTGCAGCCATCCCAGCTGGATCCAGCACATGCGGAAAAAGATCCCAAGGATGAAAGTGACTGAATAAGTGACCTTTGTGCTGTGATGAGAAAATGGTTGCAAGAGCGAGGCAGTTCCTTTTCAGGAAAGAATACGAGATGTCGTGACATCAGGGTTTGACTTGATAGAGGTTGAGGTAAGAGGTCAGCATACAGACTTACATGTATCGCTTCCTTCCATGCGTCCGCTTCGATCCAAAAGTCAGAAGGCTGGGTGGAAGGGCCGCAGGACGGTCCGGCGGGCGCAGTCGCGGAAAAAGTGGGCCCCTGGTCCAGGGCGCTGTGAGGTGCGATGTGCTTCCAGATGGCTTGAGAACTTGAGTTTGATTGTTTTGAAAATGAATGCGTTGTCTTTAACACGAGACGCTTTTTGTGACTTTTACGCAAACAATCATGTAACCTGGGTACCAAATCATGGCAAGTAAAACTTAGGTGAAACACAATCATTCCTGCTCTCCTGTTGCATCATGGACACACCCTATGTTTACGCGAGCTTGGGCGACCGACACACGGCCGTGCCGCGGCACTGTCAGTGTCGTAATTACAGTATCGCCGTAATCACAGGGCCACAGCTAGGCAATCCACGGAAGTCATACGAGAAAGCATGTATGCATTTCTCTTTCCAGGGTGCGCTCGGTACTGAGGCGTGGACACCTCGACTGCCAACTTGCAACAAAGTCCGCCCTTGCAGCAAATATTACGGCACATATCACGAACTGCCAACTGACAGGAACAGAGGCACGACAGCAATAGAGAAAATGAGCGGCAAATTCTGAGGACTCTTCTTCCGTCTGGAGCTGGTAAAATCTGAAACTACAGATAGACAGCCGACTCTCCCACGTGTCCACCAAAACGCCGACGCGGATTTGAGGTGCGCTAAAGTATTACCGCCGCTCCTGGTGTACAGTGAAAATTATTTCCTCTACCGATGAAACAGTGGTTGCAGGTCGCGCCAGTAATCCATCCTCACGCTGGTTCTTGGTGCAGGACGTTGACCCTATCTCCACGCTGGCAGCCTTGAGCCTTTGGTTGACAGATGCCAACTGTATTTAATCGCCTAAATGATCGCTCCAGAGCGGCCAAACTACCTAAACCCAGACCGCTTGGTGCGGTGCCTGCCGTCGACACGTCAGAGGTCGTGACCCGGCGAGATATTCGCGATCTGCCACAAGATGAGCAGGAACGTGTGTGCAATGCCATTGAAAAGATGATGGAGCCAGGATGGGCAGCATCCGAAAAAAATAACATCGGTGGCTACTCGGAGGAGCGGTCGCCGTCAGAGTTCTTCCGGCTGGCCAGTGAGGACGTTACGTAGCGGTATCTCAACAGCAGCCCTGTAAAGCTTTCAATGGAAAGCAGTTTTTACGGCTGGGCGGTTTTCATTGCGGTATACCAATCGTAGTCGCCACGCAGGGGGCAAGGCGACGTCGCACCGTATGGGGAACGTCCTGTGACACATGCACGCGCGTGTCTGTATGCGTCTGTGTGTCTGTCTGTGTCTGTCTGTGTGTCATGATCTTCCGCCCTGAACTGGCTCGGGGGATTTCAACAGAACGATACCCTTACCGCTAACCCGTACTGCAACGGAACTAAGGACGGCGTAACAGCCGACGGCAACGGCCAACCGCGGCATCACGTCCTTGTGCGTCCCAACTGCCAATGCATAGTCACATCTGACGCAACATGAATAATACCATTTGGGTAATATGGCGGCTAATGGTGACTTGTACGGCGGTGTGTCAAACCCCCTTGTACCCCTGAACCCGCATTCCCTCGCCCGCTGGTCCCCGTCGGCCATGTCTGTCACTCAGGGTATCACGGCTGGGACCTGTCGTACTGTGTTCATGGCCGGGAGACCTTTCCCGGCTGGCACCGTGCGTACCTGGTGGACTTCGAGCGCACCCTCCAGGTGTGTGTGTATGTATGTATGTGTGGGGGGGGATAGGGGGTAGGGGGTAGGGGGGCAGGTAGTGAGTATTGCTATTACTGCTACTAAGAATTGCTGTTGTTACTCATACTGCTACTGCTGTTGTTACTGCTACTGCTGTTGTTACCGCTCTTGTGCTGTCGTGGCTTCAGGCTGCCGACCGAGCTCTTGGCGGTGACGGCCGTATCGCCCTGCCGTACTGGGGCTGGGATCGGGGGGAGGTCAACGGGGAGCTGTTCCCCGCCATCGTACGGAAGCGCTTCTCAGTCCTGAGACCGGATCTCATTCCCCCGGAGGCGGAGGGCAGGTAAGGGGGGCTGGGGGCCGGGGAAGGGGGTGGGTCCGGAACTGTGCGTGTGTGTATGTGTGTACGTGTACTTGGCAGTCAACCCTCCTGCCCCCCTTCATTACCATCTCCCCCCGCTCGCCCCCCTCATAGATCCACTGACCCCGCCACCACCAGTGTTTTTAAAAGTGGTTACTAGGTGGTGACCAAGTGGTTACTGAGAAATATTTCCCTTCCAGAAGGTGATCGGTCACTAGGAAATGTTTCGAGTCGCCTGCCATCAACCAGGTGGTACCCAGGAAATTGGGGGCCACAGAAACCCGTTGTGAACGCCAAATCTTTCTTTACAAATACCCATGTTGATAAACAATCAACATATATGCGTCGTCTTGGCTGTTCAAAGAAGTGGATGAGCGCTGTGAAGTAGTTGGATCTTCGGATGCAAGGTGGTTCTAGTGGGCTCCTGTAACAGGAGTCCTGTTCAGCATACTCGCTGGGAAAAATGTAAGGTGGTTACCAAGGAAAACCCCCAGAGTAACCACTTGGTCACTAAAAAATTACCACGGTGAAAAAGTTTTAAAAACACTGCCGCCAGCCCCGGCATCTCATCCGCCACGCATGTGTGTGTGTGCGTGTGTGTGTTTGTGTATACGGATTCACCATGTGCCAAACCCTCTCACCCCCGCCCGCTTCCTGCCCCCTCACCCCTCACCCCCCGCCATCCCCCCCCGCGGCCCCATTCGCAGCCAGCTGGGCCCCGACAACGGCTACCGGATAGTTCCCAACGACAAACAGTTGGCTACCGGATTGAAGAACATGAAGGTGGGGGCCGGGGAGCGGGGTGGCGGGTGGCGGGTGGGGGTTCCCCACAGCGGATTGGGGCGGAGGGGCCCGGTGTGCAAGGTTAGAGGGGTTAGGGAGAAGGAGGTGGCCGCAGTATGTGGCATGGAGCGGAATACGGAGGTGGCGGACGAGGGGGAGGTCTTGGGCGCCCGAATCTCTCCCACCATTTCACCATTACCACCACATGGTCGGGCCCCCAAACAACAACCCCCCCCCCACACACACACACACGCCGGACCCCCCCTCCCACCCGCACAGGTTGAAGACCAGGTCCGCTCCGCCCTGTCCCAGTGGGAGCACCCCCGGGCTGCCTCCACCCACCTGGACAACACCCACAGTGTGGAGACCCCGCACAACTCCCTCCACGTGCTGTGCGGCTGGCCCATGTCGAGTGTGAGCTTCGCGGCCTTCCATCCGATATTCTTTCTACACCACTGCAACGTGGACCGGCTGTACGACACCTACCTGCGGAAGGACATGACCAATGCGGGGGATGGAGAGAACGCGCCCTGGGTGGGTGGGTGGGTGGGTGGGAGGTGGGCACTCTCTCCGGCTGGGGTGGGGGAGGAGTGGTACGGCAGGAGTGTGTTTGGTTGCGGTGCTGCGGCGGGGGCAAGACACCTGAGCACCTGGAGTGGTTCTCCCTTCATCATGCCAGTTGTCATGTTCCCTCCCCTTCCTCCCCATACCCTCCTTTTCACCCCTCCTTCTCTGCTGCCGCTGGTGCGGCTGCGGCTGCTGGTGGTGCTGGTCCCCCCCCTCCTTGTTCCCCCCCCTCCCGCCCCCAGGTGGAGTTCGACAGCTCGTTATTCGTCCAGGAGCTGCGGCCCTTCCGCCACCCGGCCACGGGGGAGTGGTTCTTGCCGAAACACACTTTCAAGACCGAGGTGGGGAAGGGGGAAAGGGGGGGGAAGTGCGCGGAAGGGGGGGGGAGCGGGAGAGGGGGGGGAAAGGGGAAGCTAGGGAAGGGAGGGGGTGTAGCCCTCCGCGTACGATCATACCGTCGTGCAATAAGGAGCCTTCGTACGATATTGTCCTCTGTTCATGAAGATCTAAGCTGTCGGAAACAATCAGTTTCGCGCGGTAGCCCGCATAACCGATAGCGCTTCAGGCGAGGTGATGCCGGCCCCTGCCCTCCTTAATTTCCAATCCATCACTGTGCTCCCCTGTTACACACACACACAGACAGACAGGCAGACAGACAGACAGACAGACAAAAACACCGCACCCACCCCGAACCCCCCCAGGCTATCGGTTACGTGTACGACCAACTGCCGCCCATACCACCTCAGCAAATGCGCGAGCCCCCCATCCTGGCGAGGTTTGAAGACATCAACCCTGTGACGTGAGTGGGGTGATTTGGGGGGGGGCTCGCGGCTAGGGGTGCTGTAGCCGTAATGCTGCTGCTGCACGTGGTTAGTGCCGGTGTCGTACCCCTGCTGGCCTTTCCCCACCGACCTACCTGCTACTGCCCACCCCGCCATCAACCTCCCTGCTGCTACTGCCGTACTCAGACTCGCTGGGCGGTCCGTAGCCCTACACGTGTTTGTGGTGGAGGGGGGGGGAGAGGCGGGTGGGTTCGTGCCCCCGGACGACGTGGACGACTTTGACGACACCCCCCAGTACGGCGGACTGACGGGCGTGTTTGGCAGCAAGCTGGGGGAG